CAGAGAAAACTGACTCTGAGGGATTGCCCCGCCGCCTTTTTCGTGACTGGACGACTTGCTGCTGCACACAGCTGCCATGTCTGACAAAATGGGATGTCGCAGGATGTCTGATACCGTAGCCACTCTCTTTGAGGATAGTACCATTGCCGAGATCGAATCACCACCCAGCCTGAAAAAATTGTCATCCGGTCCGATGCGGGAGACTGGTAATTTCAAGACCTCAGCCCATGCGAGAGCAAGCGTTTTCTCTGCTACAGTTGTCAACGGCTTTTTCGCGCTTTCCGTCTGTGAGTACATGCTCAGAAGCTCCTCTTGAGATAAGGTGGCTATCGCCTCACGGAGTGTCCTTCGGTCAAGCTTTCCAGCAGTAGTCGTTGGCATCTTGCTGACGGGGATGTATAAAGCCGGAACTTCATACGGTGGCAGCACAGCCTCTAGAGCTCTCTGTAGCTGCACAATGTCACCCTGAAGGCCTCCTACTACAGGCAGAAGCAGATCTTCCTCTGGAGGATTTTCATCTTTCTTGTCGACACAGAAGAAAGCAGCAAGACAAGCTTTGTCTTGCAGGCCACCTGGTAGCACGATGTCTACGCAGACGCCGCTTGCGCCCGGCAGATTTTTCAAAGCATGTGCCTCAATCTCGGCCAGCTCAATTCTCTGTCCGCGAAGTTTGGTTTGCTGGTCAGCTCGGCCAAGGTATATGATTGAGCCGTCAGTTGTGTAGCGAGCTTGATCACCGGTGTTGTATGCTCTCTCGCCTGGCTTGAAGCTGGGGCTCTCCAAGAATACTTCCTCCGTTTTCGCCTCATCTCCCAGATAACCGTCTGCTAGTGCTGGTCCAGAAAGATGAAGCATCCCCACGGCTCCCAACGGTGCAAGCTGGTTAGGGTCGTCCAAATTTACGATCCAAGTCTGGGAGGCCACTCCTTTGCCAAGAACATCGTTTCGGTCCGTCGTACTTTCGAAAGTCTTCATTACTGCGAAAACGCCTGCGTATTAAATTAGTATCGCTTCCTGAATGAAGGAAATCTACTCACAGGTCTCCGTCGGGCCGTACCCGTTCATCAACCGAAGTCGACTTGCCCAAGTGGCGATGTTGTCAGCCCCAAGGGCTTCACCGCCCAGTATCAAGGTCTTCATCGTAGGAATATCGTCAGGTTTGAGTATGCGCACAACAGACGGAGTCATGAAGGCAGTATTGACTTGTTTCCTGCTGATGAAGCCGACAAGATCGCTCATCCTTTCTTCCTCTGAAGGAAGGCAGATAGTTCCACCATACATAAGAGTCGTGAAAATCTCCAAGACACAAGCATCGAACGTGAAAGCAGCAAATTGGCACATGCGTGTGGAGTCGTTGCAGCCAATGAGTGCTCCGTGATGGAAGGTGCTACTATTCACTGCTCGGTGGCTCAAGACCACACCTTTGGGCACACCACTGGTACCAGAAGTGAATAGACAGTAAGCAGACCGCTCAGATGCGACAGTGGGTAGTATGAATGGCGCCAGGTGCGTATCCACAAAGTTCTCCAGGGAAACCGTGAAGACACTGTCCACCAAAGTCCGCATTCGCTGCGTGTTTGTATGTGATGCTAGGATCACTCGAACATGCCCAAGCTGCGACATGATGGCTTTGAGGCGGTCATCTGGATGAGCCATATCGAGAGGAACATAAACGGCTCCAGCCCTCATGATTCCAAGCATCGATACAATGGCCCAAGCACTCTTCTCAAAGGCGATGGGGACAAATTCACCAACCTTTACTCCCTGTTGCACAAGCTGAGTTGCTAGTATGCTACTCTTGAAATCGAGCTCGCTGTATGAAATTCTAAGGTCGAATGAATCAATAGCAACAGCTTCAGGAGCGCGCTTGACCGACTCTTGAAAGACCGCGTGAACAGATCTATCAACCGCTGCAGGTACGACTGAGTTCCAGGAGGATATGTGTCTTAGGTCCTGGTCGTCTTCCATCTTTAATTGAGCGACTGGAGCTTGTGGTATCTCCAGGATTGATGTGATAACATTTGAAAGGGCGTTGCTGACACTCTCTGCCTGTGTATCCGACAAAATGTTGGCATAGTAACTCATCTGCACATGGATGTCGCCACCGTCGTCAGAGATGCTGACTGAAATTGGATACTCTGTCGGACCCACGCCATCGACGTAATGAATGTGTAAGTCGTCAGCGAAAAAGTCCTGATGTGGTCGTCTCTCGAAGCTGAGCACGGTATTGAACAATTTTTGGCCAGAAGACAGGCCAAGTTCGTGTTGGATCTCCGCAAGGCTGACGTGCTGGTATGGGAGAGACTGCAGATATTCGTCTTGTAATTTCTCCAAGGACTGGATCGCTGTTTGCTGCGAGGTCGTATCGAAATCGATTGAGCAGATCAGCATGTTGATGAATGCTCCGACTGCTTCTTCGATCCCTTCGACAGGGATTTCTCGGCCAGAGGCCAAGTATCCGAAACAAACCTGATTGTCTCCCGTGAAGGCCCTGAGGACTTTTGCCCATGCTAACCTGAAGATACTTGCCAGAGTAAGGTTGTGCTCTTGGCAGAAGATGCGTACTCGGGAGGCTTCAGGTAGTTTGACCTCGATCTGGCGAAGGGGCCGGATTTCTGCATGTTCAACACTCGACTCTGTGAGAGTTGGGAAATGAGAAGACCTGACGCCGCTTAATTGGCTCTTCCAGAAATCTATTGCAGCGGCTCGAGGCTGCGACTGAATGTAGCCAATATAATTGCTGTAGAGTGGACCCTGACTTGTATTTGATGGGTTCTGGTAAGCCTCTGCCCAATCAGAGACAAGGATGGACATCGATGTACCATCTACTAATGCATGGCTGATCTCAAGTTTGCAGAGAGTGAGGCCCGTGTCGGTGTTGTTCAAGACCGTCAGACAATGCGGGGGCTGGTCTGGGCTGAATACCTGCGTTTGGGCATTCAAGAACCTCACTGCGTCGACTCCGTTGGGCGAGGTTACCAACTTGATCAGGGGAGAATATTCCTTGAGCAGGAGCTGGTCGTATGGACGGTCGGATAGACCCCCCACAAAGATGGTCCTGAGCACCGCTTGTCGGTCGACCACCACTTGCCATGCCTTGACCAGTCTTTGCACATCAATCGGTGAACCGGAAACGGAAGATACCTGGAACACCATTTCAATGTGATACACGCCATCCACCCGGCTTTGTGTGAGCAAAATTCCCTCCTGCATCGGAGAGCAGGCGTAAATATCCTCGATATTTCTGCTAAGAGTGAAGGAAGGCTCGAAACGCTGCTGGAGTGATTGTAAGCTCGCGTACGATACGTTTTGTAGCCGAGGGAAGTCTCCTGGGGTCAAGATCCGCGGTGACTGCTCGAGTGCGCAGATCATATCGATGAGTGTCTGTTGATACATTTGCACCCAGCGCTCAATCCCATCGATATGTTTCATTTTGCGATTATAGGTCAGCGAAACGCAAGTCTTCCCTTCAAGGATGTATGTGGTGATATCGATCAGCGAGAACCGGTTGACTTGGGGACCAAAGTCACCTTGGTTGAATGGTATGATTTGCAAGAGACTGCCATCTTCGTCAGACTGAGATTGGCGGTCTTGTCCCCGATAAACGCCTAGATAGTTGAACAAGATCTCGACTGGCCAGTGCTGCGCAAACGCGGCTCTACCTGCCGGGTTAGAAACTGCTGAGTTGAAGTAAGACCAGCCTTTGCGCGGCAAAGATCGTCTCTGATCCTTCAATTGCTGAACAGTTCCTGTGAGATTTTTCTCCAGAGGTGACACGTGTAGAGGGTACATGGTAGTGAACCAGCCAACAGTCTCCGTAACATCGATGCGAGAGCCATCCCAGGATTCTCTTCCATGGCCTTCGTTGAAGATCGCTGGTGGTGCACGAGCAAATGCTTCGGCAAAGGAGGAGAAGGCAGCCGCCAGTAGAATGTCTAAAGCTTCAGTATTCATGGCTGAGTGACACTTTCGTAGAAGTCCATCGGTTTGCACGCAATCTAATGTGAATCCGATCTCCGCTATATCAGCCCGGAGGTTTCGCTCCCCTTGCATGCCCCAGTAGCTGTAGTCTGCTGCTGGTACTTCATGGAAGAGAGAAATTTTGGGGGTTAAGGATTGTACGCTGTGTCCAGCCTGCGCTTTGATCCAAGAATGGAATGGGAAAGGCTTCGGGGCGGGTAGCTGTGATCCCTGGATCGCCAGTAGATCCTCCAGCTGGCGAATAATGATTCGCCAAGAGACTAGGTCAACGACCAGGTGGTGAGCTGTAAGGAATAGAAGCTGCTTGCCAGTAGTCTGAATGTTCAGCAGCACAGCAGCGAATACAGGTCCGGTTTCAATATTGTGCTGTTCTTGTTGCTTCCGAGCAATTGAGTGGGCTTCTTCATCTGAGTTGACAACAAGGCTTGCGAAGTGGAAATTTCCTTCTACCTGCTTCGGAATTATTTGCGTCCAGCTTCCGTCTTCTCTGAGAGAGTATCGAGCTCGTAGCAGTGGGTGGTACTCAACAATCTGCCGTACAGCATGCGCAACACAATCTGAGCTCTGCTTGGTAGTCACAGCAAGCAAGAAACTCTGGTTGAAATGATTTTTTGCCGGCTCCCGACTCGAGTTAGCGATTTCGGAGAAGTAGAGCTTTTGTATCGGCGACAGCTCAAAGGGGACGTTAAACAGCTCTGCTTGCTGCATGCTTTGGGATCCATCATATTTCTCCGCGGCTGCTGCAAGATCATGAAGATTCTTGCACTGCATAATTGATTTGACTGTCAATCCCAGGCCTTCTTTTCGACACTGAACGACTGTGCTAATGGCTTGGATCGAGTCTCCTCCGAGATTCAAGAAAGACTTATTCAAATCGATCTGGTCTAGCGGTTCATTGAAGACAGTGGCGAGCACACGCTGGATCAGCTTAAGCTCAGGACTGAGGTTCTCATTTCTCAAATTGGTCCCTTGTTCAGCAGGTGCTGTAGCATCCAAAGCTTGCGTGTATGTTTGGTTTGATAGCATCTCGACCCAACGAGCAACAGAAACGCGATCGACCTTCTTCGACGGCGTCAATGTCATTGACTCCACGATGAGCCATGATGTTGGTACCATGTATACAGGCACATGACTTCGAAGCTGCTCCTTGACTTCTTCGATCTGCTCAGCTGCGGCTTTGGCATGCTCAGCGGGAATTGGACGCAGCTCCTCAGATGCCATAGTCCTTTCAGAAAAGTCCCGGAGAGCAACAACTGCCGTAAGTTTCCGTTGACATATGCCCTTCTTTGGTACGAATATAACCGCAAAGCGAACGAGGTCATGCGAAGCGACGTGGCGCTCGATCTCAAAGCATTCGATTCGCTGTCCATTAAGCTTCACTTGTCCATCTTGTCTGCCAACTGCCACCACAGTACCATCTTCAGTGTATCGGACTAAGTCTCCAGATCGGTAGAGGCGAGTGTTCGGGTTGTCCTGCACACGCCACGGCGGAGGTGGAATGAAAGCCTCTGTAGTCTTTTGAGGATCAAGGTAGCCACGCGAAAGGATCGGGCCCTCAATCAGTAGCTCTCCGATCACTCCAATTGGAGCCAACTTGGTTACATCAGTAGCATCAGCTATCCATAGAAGTGATCCGTAGCCTCCATTCCCTTTATTGATCGTGGCGGGCGGTTTTCCATCTATTATGTCCGCCATACTAGTCCATACCGAGCATTCAGCCGGACCGTAGCTGTTAGTCACCCGTGCATGGTCTTTCCATGTATTGAAGACATCCTCTCGAACAAGCTCGCCACCTAAAGATAGTGTCTTGAGGCCTGGAATCTCCGCGGGAGTCAGCAAGCGTGCCATAGAAGGCGTGAAGAACGACCAATTGACTCCGAGACGATTGATCGCGCCGGCTGTGTCATTCAATCTCTCGCTCTCCGATGGAATACAAACACATGCACCCAGCATTAACGTTGCCCATACCTCTGAGTTGGACGTGTCAAAGGTATAGCTTGCGAATTGGAATACTCGAGAGTCGCTTGAGATGCCCATCTCAGGGTTATATCCAATGACTGAACTGAAAGAGCTATGAGTGATCGTGATTGCTTTTGGCCGGCCGGTACTGCCACTCGTCGTGCAAATGAAGGCTCCGCTTGTCGGCACGGCCGTCTCACAAAGGAGCTCGGAATGGTCCGGCAATTGAGCCAATAGAGTCTCGTCTACAATCGTGACAGATCCAATGACGGCTTTGAGCGTCTCAGCATACACCTTAGAGCCGGTGAGGAGTAAGGTCGGCTCAGCTTGTTCAATGATATTTCGGTGATGCTGGGGTGGATGGGAAGGGTCAATGGAGAGATATGTGCCTCCTGCCATGAGAACTGCAAGCATTGATACGACGGTCCATTTGCTCTTGTCAAAAGCGAGAAGTACTTTCTGCTCATTTGTAACTCCATTTTCCCGTAGATGGTGAGCAAGACGACCTGCGATGGAAGTTAACTCTCCATATGAATATGAGCCGTCCCAGGACGCGATGGCCGGAGCGCCGGGGCGCTCTGCTGCTTGGCGAACGACCTGCGCGTGGATGAGGTCGTGGACTGCTGGAGGAACGACGCCATCCTTATTTCGTCGCAATATGGTCTGCTTGTCTTCGGGTGTGACGAAATCCAGGCTTGACAGTGGAGCCGTTGGGTCCTCCAGTATATCACTTAGGATTTTCGAGAATGTCTTTCCGATCCGCATGGCTTGCTCAGTTGTGTAATACGTCGACATGTAGCTGATGTTTGCCTCAACAGCTGCTTCACTGGCTGTGATACTGACACTGCAGTCATATTCTGTCGGGTCATATGCGTGTACACATTCAATCTTGATGTCATTCCCATCTTCCTCCGTTGAGAGAGGCCTTTGGATGGATACGACTGAGTTGAAAAGGCGCGACCCTGCAGAAGCTCTCAAAACTCTATGATAGATTTGACCCAACGGAGTATGCTGATGAGGCAAAGATTCCAGGTAATCGCTCTGTGCCTTTTGGATTGTAGTGAGTATGCTGTCTTTGTTCGACGACTTTGCATCGACGCGACAGATGAGCATGTTGATGTAAGGGCCCATGGCGTTCTCTAAACCATCGATCGCGACGTCGCGGCCAGACGCAAGGAAGCCGAAGACAACATCGGGATTGCTGCCGTAACTCCTAACGACAATGGCCCAAGCAATTTGCAGAATGCTGCTCATGGTGACTTCTTTCGCCTTAGAAAACGCGTGAAGCTTTTTCACAGTCTCAGAAGGAAAGGTGATCCTCGCGTTCTCTAAAGTGTTTTGGGTCGGTGCGGTCTGGTCAAGCAGGAGCTTGGGCATGATGCAAGGCTCAACACCTTCAAGATACTGACTCCAGTACGTGAGCGAGCTCTCCATCTGAGTGCTTTGGTTCTCGAGTAGCATTGAAATATAGGTGCGGTAAGGCGGTGCAGGGCCCGCGCTTTCGTTTTGGTAGGCCGAAACAAGATCTCTGAGGATGATGGCCATTGAAGCACCATCGATCAACGTGTGGCTGATCTCCAGGTTGAAGTATACCTTGTTATCTGCAGTACGTTCATAGACTGTGAATCTGTGCGGTGGCAGACCGTCTTCATAGTCGATGGGGTTGGTCCAAGGGTAGTTGAGGAGCGCCTGGTAGTCCTGAACCTTTGCTTCTCTAGCAGTGTGTTTTTTCAGCACGGTCTGAGTGAAGAGAGTAGTAAAAGCCTCAAGCTCTGGGTTGCTTGATTCGATAAAGACGGTCCGGAGGATGGTATGTTTATTGACCACTTGTTGCCATGCCGCCCGCAGCCCTTCGACTGACACTTTGACGCCCGTCTTAAGTGCACTTGCTTCACAGACCGCAAAGAACCTGTAGTTTGCACTTGCCTGGGCCTGTGCAATGAGTAGACCTTGTTGCATGGGACTAGCTGGGTAAGCGTCCTCCAAGTCATTTGAACCTGAGTAGCCGATGTTCTTGACATCGTTGTCGATCGTCTCTAATGTGGCATCCGCTAGCAAAGCGAACGGCTCATCACTGCCTATCTTTCTGACTAATGCTGATGATATCGGGCGAGCGTTCATCGCAAGGTCTCTCAGCGACTTGCTCAGGAGTACATCCTTGACAGTGACAGAAAGCCCAAGTTTTCTGCATCTCGCGGCGACTTGCATAGCCTGAATGGAATCCCCAGACATTCCTACAAAGCTCTGATCCAGAGAGATATTTGACTGTCTCTGCCCAAGCACGACGGCGACAACACCTTGTATAGTGGTTTCTTTTGACGTCAAAGAAGGTGCAATCTTATTATGCTCCTCAGAGGCAGCAGTTGCTTCCTCTGGAGCGGCAGCCAAATCCTGCATATATTGCAGCACACGAACCCGGTCCGTTTTTTCGTTCCGTGACAATGGTAGCATATCAAAGCAAAGCCATACCGAAGGCATCATGTAGCCTGGCAAGCGTTGACTTAGGTATGATCTACCGTTTGATAACTTCTCAGCTGCAGCGGGGTTCTGTGAAGGATCAATGAGCTGGATTGCTTTGTCGTTGTCTGGAGTGGTAGATGACCCGCGAAGAGAAATGACCGCCACCAGTCGCTCCTTCAGTGCACCGCTTCGAGGGTATAGGACGACGGCATTGTCGATGCTGTAGGATCGTAGGATGTTGTACTCGACTTCCGCCATCTCAATACGCTGCCCGTGAAGCTTGATCTGCATGTCTTTTCGGCCGACGATATTAAGGGTACCATTGGAGTTGTATCGGCATAGATCGCCGCTCCGATAGATCCTTTCTGATGGGGATACTTGTATTTCCGCTTCAATCATCCAACGAGGCGGCGGTATGAAGACTGTGGAGGTCTTTTCAAAATCGTTCAGATACCCGCGCGCTACTATGGGCCCTTGAATGAGAAGCTCCCCGAGCTCACCGACATGGCAGAGTCGGTCTGGGTTTCCAGCGTCCGTAACCCACATCCGCGCTCCAATGCCATACCCAATGTTTCCAGGAGCATGTTCAAGAGTGATGGGAGAGAGTCCGGTGGAGTATACACTTGTCTCTGCTGGCCCATAGAGATTGATCAGGTGTACTTTGTCTGCCCAGATTGCAAGGTTCTCGGCTCGAACAGTCTCCCCTCCTAGGATAAGTACTCGGAGGCCAGGAACATCTGCTGGATCCAGTAGACTCGCTACCGATGGGGTCAGGTAGGCGATGTTAATGTTCATTCGGTTGATGACACCTGCAAGATCGTCCAGACGTTCTTCCTCGGCAGGGATGCAAACTGTTGCCCCCATCTGGAGACCTGAGAATGTCTCTCCAATACTGACGTCGAAGGTGTATGAAGCAAACTGAAGAATGCGCGCCCCAGGTTGATTATACTTCATGATAGGCCCGTGCGCTGCACTGCTGCTTGCCAGTGCGTGGTGCTCGAGCACGATTCCTTTTGGTTTCCCAGTTGAACCACTCGTGAACACAACAAAACAAGGATTGCTTGGTATAGGCTGTGCCCAGGTTTTCGGCAGTGTATGTTGCTTCCCCACTAATTCATCAATCAGAGACTTGCTGATTGCGAGAGCTTTGCCAACCAAATTTTCGAAGAGGTGAACATGCTCAGGAGAGGTGAGCGCGATCTTTGCATCACATTGCAGTAGCAACTCGCCTCTTCGCTTCTCAGGATGAGTGAAATCCATCGATACGCAGGCTCCCCCAGCTTTCAAAACTGCTATTTGTGCTACAGGGACCCAAACGGACTTCTTGAAGCAGAGTGGGACTAGAGTCTCTGGACCGACCCCTAGCTCGCTGAGATACGCTGCAAGGATAGAGCTGATCGAATCAAGCTCAGCATAAGTCAGGCGGCCATCATGAGCGTCTATGGCGAGCGCGGTTGGCTTCCGTCTTGCTTGCTCAGAGATGACGTCGTGTATACAAGATCCATGATCTTCCCAAGTTTTCTCGTTCCATGAAAGGATTTGCCGTTTATCAATTTCGCTGAGGAGTTCGACCTCGTCAATTCGCTTTTCGTGGTCTTGAACGACTATCCGGACCATGTTTTGGAAGGTTTCTGAGATGTTGATTGCCATTTTGTCACTGATTTTGGATATGTAATGGCGGAAGCTCAAGTGGATATCTTCACGAGTGACGGCGATGTTGACCGAGATGTCGAACTCTGTCAAGTCCACTTCATCCACGATCACGAAAGCCACGCTTTCCTCGCTCGCTTGAATTACTTCTCCCAGGGCGCTTTGTAAGGACAGGACGGTATTAAACAGTGGAGCACGAAGCTGCAACTCATGCTGAATTTCAGCCAGCGAACAGAGCTGGTGACGCATCGAGTTTATGAAGGATTGCTGTACCGACTCTACAAGTTGTAGAAGATCGCTAGAAGCAAGCTCACCGAAATCCAGTCTGCAGACTAGCATGTTGATGTAAGCACCAACAGCATCATCAACATCCTGCACTGGAAGATCTCGCCCAGCAGAAAGATATCCAAAACAAACGTCTTCAGCACCGCTGTAAGCTCTTAAGGTCATTGCCCACGCTAAATGCAGAAGGCTGGCAACGGTGATGTTGTGCTTTCGGCAAAACTCGTGCAGTTCGAGGCCTTTTTCGATCGATGCTGTGAGTTCATGCAACTCATTTGAACCGTGTGCGTCATCATTGAGGACCGGGAAGTAGCAAGGGGAGACATCCTTTAGGTGCCGCATCCAAAATGACATGCTGATAGACTTGTCTTGTTGCTGCGCATAGCCAACGTAATGGGAGAATTTAGTTCTGCGTGTGATATCCAGATCACCAGAGTACGCAGCACTGAGGTCTCGGAACATGAGCAGTACAGAGACACCGTCAATCAATGCATGGTCGACTGCAGCCATACAGTATAAATTCTCTTCAGTCATGTATATGACGAAATCAACTCTTGGTCTCTGGCCTTTGTCGGCATTGGCGATGCGATATTGTTGAACAGCTTGACGAGTCTCGGCTTCGTTGCGACACGAGATGACACTGACGTGTGGGACAACATCGGTCAAGACAAGCTGGTCGCAGGGCGAGTCATCCGAAATGCTGGGAGTAAAAATGGTTCGCAATGATGCATGTCGATTGGAGACTCTAATCCATGCGTCTTTGAGCCGGTCTATGTCGATGCTCTCTTGTCCGTGTTGAAGCGTTGCGCGACACAAGACCCGTAACTCGTAGCTGGCTGACTCTCGTTGTTGGCTCAGTAGGATACCTTGTTGCATCGAACCGAGAGGATATACCTCCTCAATGTCTTTTTCTTCGACATGAAGGCTGGGAAGAATTTCAGACTCAAATCGCGCGAGATCGTATGAGACGGGGTGATCCTTGATAGAGGTAGCATGACCAGTCTGTGCCTTCTCAGCCAGCTCCGATAATGACTTGGCCGCGAGCATGTCTTGCATTGTCACAACAATGCCCTCAGATCTCAATCTCGATATCAATTGCATACCAAGAATACTGTCCATACCATTGTGGATGAACGAGCGGTCAAGACGAATCCTAGATGTCGGCACCTTAAGGATCTCACCGCAAATCTGCTGGAGAGTTTCCTCAATCGGGCTAGCCGGAGCGATGGCCATGGAAGCGTCTCCGGTGACAAGTTGGTATATCTCGTCGTTCATTTCGTTGATGAACTGGGTGACGGCTGACCGGTTGAGCTTCCCTGATATTGATAAAGGAATGGAGTTTGCGATGACCCATAGCGAAGGGACCATGTAGGTCGGCAGATGGACAGACACATCTTGCTTTATCTGTTCGACGTAGTTACGGTACCCAACAAGAAGCCGTATCCCTTTTTCCGACTCCGACTCATGGACTGTGCTCAGTGATAGCACAACTGTCAACTGGTCTTTGCATGCGCCCTGGCGTGGTAGCAGGACGGCGGCTCGTCTCACGGCCTCCTGCTTGGCGATATGATGCTCGATTTCACCCAGCTCAATTCTCAGGCCACGCAACTTAACCTGGGAATCTAGCCCTTTCCTACCTAAAAAGTGTATGGAACCATTGCTATTGAAACGGGCAAGGTCTCCGGATTTATACATTCGCCTAGCCTCTCCAGATTCTCCGGATTCGACCTTTGGTAGCCATGGAAAGTCGTCGTCAATGAAAGCTGCATCAGTACGCTCTGGATCCTTGTGATACCCTCGCGCAACGATAGGCCCATGAACGAGGAGCTCCCCCGGACATCCAGGCGGAACTAATCGGCGATGATCTTCGGGATCAACAATCCATATTAGAGCACCAAGAGGAAATCCGATGTTGTTCGGATCTGTATCTCGAGAAAGATTCGGTAATGCTGTGGCAGCTACACTGCACTCTGATGGCCCGTAGCCATTCGCAAGCTGGACATGGGTCGGTGCCCACGTCTCCACGTCGCCTTTACCCAGCGCTTCGCCACCCAAGACGAGGAAACGCAGGGTCGGAACCGTTTCAGGGATTATCAACTTCACCAAAGACGGTGTCAGGAATGCCCAAGTCACGTTAAACTCCTGAATGCAGTGAGCCGGTCCCTTTGAACGCGATGCGTCTCCTGGGATACACACACACGCACCAGTAATCAGTGAAGTCATGATCTCAAGCAAGCTGACGTCGAAGGAGAAGCTAGCTAACTGCAAGACGCGGTCCGTATCGAGCATTCCACTGGCCTTTCGCTGGGCATATGCGCCGGTAAGAAACTGGCGATGTTCAATGCAGCAGCCCTTGGGTTTGCCGGTGGACCTAAGGTAATAATTAGTACGTATTTCGAAGGCGTAGCGGTTGAATTATCTTACCCTGAAGTGTAGATAATGTATAATGAGTTATTCGGCTTGACAGTTGATGTGAGTAGTGAGTAATCCTCAAGGCGGTCGAGCAAAGCGGAGTTCACAGGAATGACTTCTGTGCCTGACCAGTCCCACATGTCGGCGTATTGAGGTGCAGTCAGCATGATTTTGGCCTGTACTTGGTTTTGGATCTCTTGGAGTCGAGCTATTGGGTGAGACACATCAAAGAACAGCATGGTTGCGCCAGCTCTGACCACAGCCATCATAGCTACAACAGCCCAGGCGGACTTTGGGAAACATAGCAACACAACGTCTTCGGGACCGACAAACTTTGCCTGCAATGCTATCGCTAGCTTTCGTGATGCGCGCTCAAGTTCCGCATACGTGAAACTCTCATCACTGGCGTGGATGGCCATATTTGTTGAGGTATTGTAGGCTTGCTCCTCGAAGACCTCACCCACGCATAAATCGACTGAGGAAGGTACCATGGAGTTCCATTCGAAAAGTTTCCTGGAGCTGATGGGATGAATAAGTTGAAGCTCGGAATTGAGAGCTGTTGGCTTGGAAGCGACTTCACCCAGAATCTGCTGGAATGTGTTGACAATGTCCGCTGCATCGTCTTCTCCCAGAAATGTTCGTGAAAAGACGAGTTTCGCCTCAATAGAGTGGGTGTGTTCGTGGAGATGAAGGCGCACGGCTACATCGTCGTCTTCCGCAGGAGAGGCGGTATCAAAGATTATTGCTGTATTGCAGAAAGGGTCGCCGCCTGCTCCCATAATCATGGTGTCGTTGATGAGTTCCGGTACTTGGAAGTCTTCACTTTGGCGCATATCTTCTTCTAGCCTTCTCCGAATCGTCTTCACAGAAACATCCCCGTCGACCGATGCCTGGCATAACCTCGATAGGCCTGATCCGCTACTCAACCCAAAAGATATTGAAGTATTTCCAGTGTACAGCTGCAGTACTATGCTCCATGTTGTCATAATGTCCAGACGAGCTCCTTCGCTGGAAAGACTTTGATGGTGGCTCTTCAGAATGTCCAGGCCAACATACTGTTCCGAGCAGCCAGATCGTGCAGCATTGCCATCAATTAAGGAAGGAAAGTAACATGGTGTGGCACTCTCTTTCCATCGCGTCCAGAAGTTTGTGATTTCTGGCTCGCGGTCAATTTCAACTTGGTGGACCATGCTGTATGAGTCGTAGTGTATTTTGGAATGAACGAGGTCTCGGAATGGATGATCTATCGAAATAAATGAGGTCTCAAAATGAATGAGGTCTCGTCTTCATGTATGCCAGACTAGTAATCTCTATCATGTCAAAGCTGTGTATTCTAAACTTACCACAAACAATTTCCAGCTGTATTGCAGTGACTATACACTACCTCTACTCGTAAGCGAAGACGTTCCTCTTGAGCTGATGTGAGCGACATCCGTGCCAGGGCCTTCATGCATGGTAAGGGTCTCCCTGCAAGGCCACTGGGAGCACAGACCGCCGCAACGCCTCACGAACACACGGAAGCGATTGGGGTGCGCAATAAACAAAATGCATCGGGGAGGATTAGAAGTGTCAGATGGATACCGAGATGGTGGAATGGTAAGATTCGCAAGACGTGCATGAAGGTGTCTGTGGGTTAGGCCGGCCGCGCCGGCGGTCACCGCCTATTCGGGAATCCTTGTCCCACCGAGGCGACCCACGTGTGTCTCTAATATGCATGCATGTAATATTACGTATGATAGATCCGATTTACTCCATACAGATATTTTCAGGCTAGGTATGACTGTGCAGCATTGCCGGTAATCAAAGTTGCGCAAAAAGCCTCGCATGGCAAATCGCGGCAACTCGTACACCCCGCCGAAAAAATCGGATGCCCGTAGGACAACAGCTTTCTCCAGCTAAATCTGAGTCACGCGAAAGTTTTAAGAACACAATAAGACACAAATTGGGGTTGACAAAGACTTGGGAATTCAATCGTGTTCTATAGCCGCAGCTAGTCTAAAGATCTCAATCACAGCGTCTCCATGGTCGACACAGTCACTGAACGGCTCTGCAACATGGGTCGCAGTACATCCACATGCTCTGACGCCCGCACCCCCTTCAGCATGGTACGCGGCTCGAAGCGAAGATGCGGGCCACTAATACTTGTAAGAAAACACTCATAAATGTAGTTGATAGAGCTGTAACTTACTCTTTCGAAGCCGTGATGTGGTCTCTTAACCTGAACTCGTCTTCGATACCCCATCGTTTGTCCGTTGCTTGTTGTTTTTCGGGATCAAACTCGAATTCTAAGGTGTAGACAGCATATGCGACGGCGAGCGTCAACTCTACCATGGCCATATGTTTGCCGACACAGCTCCGTGCGCCGACGGAAAAGGGACAAAATGCGGCTCGAGCCGCTTCGATGCTTTTTTTGGGGGTACCCTCACTCTCCAGCCATCTTTCTGGGCGAAATTCGAAAGGAGATGGGTAGTAATCGGGATTGTGCTGAATGGCATAGATGGGGACACCAAGTTCCACTGTGGGAGGGAACCATTCTCCATTGACAGTGGCACCATCGCGTAACACTTCCCGGTACAGCGAAGCTCCCGTAGGGGGCGACATCCGCAGTGCTTCTTCAATGCAGGCTCGCAGGTAAACAAGCTTGCTCAACTTTGGCCCAATGCGAATATCCTCTGCCGAGTCAAACAACGATCTTACTTCCTCTTGGACGCGTTGATACACTTGGGGTGAATTCGCCAGATAGAAAAATGTGGCAGACATGGCAGTCGAAGACGTGTCTGAGCCAGCAACACATAAAGTGGTACTTTCCGCGAGGATTTCCTTGGAGGTTAGCTTTTGACCAGTGATAGGATCGTGAGCTCCCTTCAGTATTGATACGACTGCAGTCTTGACCTGGAGGGTGTCTTCAGGCTTCATGACATTGTCAACCAAGCCTCGAACAAAGCCTAAAAACTGATCACGAGCCTCAATCGCCTTAGGAAATATCCAGCGGTCAATTCGACCGACTCTTGGGAGTACCGGGCTCTGCAACAACACACTAACGCGAATGTTGGATCTGATATGGTCAGTTCAAAATTCCCGCGGTCGGTAGATGTTGTTACTGACTGTTCGATCGCATCAGGTATGGCGCGATTAGCTGTCGACCCCAGCAGGTTGTACTGCATACCGAACACAACATCGCCCATGATATCAAACGACAGGTAGTTGAACCAGCTCGCCACGTTCTTCGGCTCATCTGTGCCTGACAGTAGCGCGAAGCATTTCTGGATGTGGGCCATCAGTGTCGGCTCGTGGAAGCGAACAGCTGCATCTGACAGGCCCTGTGAAACGATTCGGCGGCGACGAGCATGCTCTTCCTTGTTAATCATGGTCAAAGTATTCGCAGCTCCATGCCTCAGAACTCGGTAGTTGGGACTAGAAAGATGACAGGGTCAGCACTGTCCGCGTTATCAAGTGCCCTGCTCTCACCTTTTCTGGAAGTTCTTTGCCCCAGTTATGTAGATTTCTTTCAGGGCTTCGGCAGTATTGAAATTTAGTTTGTTTGGAGAGTAGCGGATGATGGGGCCTGACTGATTTTCAGTTCGGTCTCAACAACCACGCAAAAGAGAGACAAACCATATCGTTCATGTTGCCTCCACATGTCAATATGGATATCACCTTTCCAGGCATGATAGGCAGCATAAAGGTCCGTGAGTCTGGCAAGTAAGGGCCCAGGATACTTGGAGAGTGGGTGCCAGTACAGCCGTCGAACGCAGTAGATGATTGCCTGTTCCATGTCAATAGGAGCCCAAGGACGCGGTATTGATAACGCATAGTCTGTACAACATACGCAAGCAAACCCAAAAAATGTGCAAAGTAGCACGGCGCGCAAGATACTGTGCATGAAGACCATGTTTGTCTGATAAATGTGTGTACAACGATTTGAAGAGCAAGAACCTGAAATTAAGGGACTTGAAGGCTCCCGGAAAATGTTTTGAAGATTAGTTCACCGCTTATTGGTTGATGTGTATATATCCTAGAGGGACGACATATGTCAGCTGATACAAGGTTTACTGCAGCTCTCCACTCACACATGCAGGCTTTCCCTGTAAGCGCAAGTAAGTACGCTATGTGACTACAAGGCATGCTTGGTGAGCAGTGCTGACCGATCGGTATGACTATTGATTGCGTGAACTCCATATACACGGAATCACCTTCTCCGGGGGTAGAGCCCGTTTCAGATGACCCAAAAATAAGCTACATGCAGAGATGTGGAGTGCTGACAAGGACTCGCCATAATGTATGTGGCGATGCAAGCGATGTAATAGCGCGTGCCGTAAACTAGTCCCAACCTACAGTGTGGTATTTTTGGTTTGAAGGACCAAGCGGCTGATTGTATAGTGTGGGTGCACTTCAAGCATTTTTGATCCCGCTTGCCAGAAGGTGATGCTAGACTCGTTGTCATCGATCCCAATCCACTCTTCACAGGTCTGCAGTTCACCAAATTCGCAACATGGCAAGCACTCACAGAAATGAAGACGAAATTTCAAGGACAGTACTCATTGAGCTTCTGGCATATCAATTTTGCTTTCCCGTCCAATGGATCAGAACCCAGGATCTCATTCTCGGCTCGCGAGGTACGGAGCGTCTCATCGAAATTGGCCCTACGAGCACCTTGGCAAATATGGCGAAAAGAACAGTAGACCTCAAGTATGCCCACCGGGATATCGCTCAAGATACCCAGCGTCAGTTCTTGAGCTTTCAGCAGAACCTCGACGCCATCTCATATGACCAACATGTCACGACACCCGACATCGTCCCCGAGCAACCCAAAAACATCGTCATCCCGACCATAGAACATATAGATACGCCCATTACCACCACTGCAAGTGCCCCACAGGTCGTACATGTCCCGATCGAGCCGATTCAAGATACACCTGTTACTTCCGTTGAGATCATCTCCACAATTGTAGCAGCCTCCTTGAAAAAGCCCATGGATTCTGTGGAAATGACAATGTCTATCAAAGCACTGGCCGGCGGACGCTCTACACTCCAGAATGAAATCATCGGAGATCTTGCCACCGAGTTTGACGCGATCCCTGATGGCGCTGAGGACATGCCACTCGACAGACTATGTGCAGCAGTGCAAAGCAATTTTGCAGGAACCTTGGGAAAGAAGTCCACATCAATGGTGGAGAGGCTGGTCGGCCAGAAATTGCCCAGTGCTTTCCAAACTGCAACCGTCCGCAAGCACCTGAAGGAGAGATGGGGTTTCGGGCCAGGACGCCAAGACAGCGTTCTGCTCTGGAGCGTAACATCTCAGCCTGGATTCCGACTCAAGGACGATGGCGAGGCCAAAGTGTTCTTGGACGGTATCTGTCATTTGTACGCAAAGAAGAATGGTCTTAGCCTCCCAGACACCAACTCGCTTTCAGTCACAGTCTCAGTTGCAGAGACAAAGGTCAGCTCTGAGACCATGATACTCCTGGAGAACAAGCAAAAGTCCGCATGGTTGGAGCAGCTGCGCCTCTACTCGAATCTGCTTGGGCTTGATATGCATGCATCTGAAGCCACTATTGATACACTCCAGCAACGGGTATCTGACTTGCAAAAAGAGCTGGATGCCTGGACTGATGAGCATGGCGAGCTTTATGCGTCTGGTATCCAGCCAATGTTCGCGCCCCTGAAAGTCCGCACATACAGCTCATGGTGGAACTGGGTGATGCAGGATCTATTGTACTATGTAGCTCTGGCAGCGACTTCGGAAGCAAGCGATACCGAGCTAGACCACTTGAAAGCTTTAATCGTGAACCGGTCGAATACTCGTATCGTATCCACGATCGACTATCTGGTCTCTACCACAAGCAAGGAGCGCCTTGCTTCTAGACTGTCGACCCTGTTGGCTGAATGCCAAAGCGCGGTGGGACTGCCTTCCACCGTTCGCCGTCTTGGTCCCTCCGTGGCCCCATTCACAAGGATCTTGAATGATGGCAAGATTGTGGTATCTGAAAAGCCTAGGCTCGGCAACTATCAGGGTGACAATTGCCTGCCAAGACTGGGTCGGAGGAGTCTTTCTAGCTGGCAGTATGATGAGCAGCTTTCTTCAGTGCTCCATGAGATACTTCAAGTTCAAGGCTCCACTGGTTTGTCCTTTGCCGAAAAAACGGTACTCGTCACCGGGGCCGGCGAAGGCTCAATCGGCTGTCACATCGTTGCCCAGCTTCTCAATGCTGGGGGAGTTGTTCTCGTCACTAGCAGCTCCTATTCGCTAAAGACCACACGCTTTTATCAAAAGCTTTATGCTGACAATTGCGGGAAGGGATCACGACTGGTTTTGCTTCCCTTCAATCAAGCTAGCATCCGCGACGTCGACACTCTTGTGGACTTCATATACAGCAAGGACGGACTGGCCATGGACCTAGACTACGTTGTACCGTTCGCTGCAATCTCGGAGAATGGACGGTCAATTAGCAATATCGACGGCAGATCTGAGCTGGGCCACCGCATCATGCTCACCAACACATTACGTCTTCTTGGAAATGTGAAGCAGCACAAGATGACTCGTGGAACGGTGACCAGGCCGGCCCAGGTCATTCTTCCTCTTTCACCTAACCACGGCTCTTTTGGAAGTGATGGTCTCTACGCGGAGTCTAAGTTAGGCCTGGAAGCTCTTTTTGAAAAGTTCCACTCTGAAGATTGGGCAGACTACTTGCTCGTTTGCGGTGCAATCATTGGCTGGACTCGCGGTACTTCACTAATGTCGGACAATGATATGGTCGCAGAAGGCATCGAGAAGCTTGGTGTGCGGACCTACTCTCAAGCGGAGATGGCATTCAATATCGTATGTCTGCTGAGTGAAGAGGTCAAATTGCTGTGCATTGACAGTCCGCTGGTCGCCGACCTGAGTGGAGGTATGGGAGAGCTCGTGGATCTCCAGCGTGCTACTGCAGACATTCGGGCTGTAATTTCCGAGAAGAGTGAGGAGGCTCGTGCTCTAGCGCTCGAGAATATCTTGGAAACATCGGCTACTAATATTGGACGCCATCGCCAATTGTCGGCAAACATACGGTTCGCCTTCCCAGAGCTGCCGGAGTGGGATTCTGATATCTCCCCCCTTAACGACCAGCTAAAGGACATGGTGGATCTCGACCGAGTCGTGGTCGTTGTTGGCTACTCCGAGGTGGGTCCATGTGGCAACTCTCGTACAAGATGGGAAATGGAATTGCACGGTCCGCTCCTTTCAACTGAGTGTTGCATAGAGTTTGCATGGATGATGGGTCTCATCAAGGGCTACGATGGTGTAGTAGACGGTCGCCCATTCTCAGGATGGGTAGAAAAGGACACAGGCAAGCCAATCCAAGACCACGAGATCCCCGTCAAGTTCGGCAAATTCATCCAAGAGCACATTGGCATCCGCTTCGCCGAAGAAAAACGAGGCGCTTCAGGCTGGAAGGGACGCGAAATTCTTCATGAAATTGAGGTATCGAAAGACTATGACCCGATTGAAGTCACCAAGGACGTCGCAGCGCAGCTCAAGCAAGCACACGGAGAGAGTGTGCATATAACTGTCGACAATATAACGGGCCAAACAAAGGTGGTTCTAAGAAAAGGTGCTAGAATTGTGGTGCCAAAGCTGCTGGAAGGGAGCCACACTGTCGCAGCCCAGATTCCAACAGGGTGGAATGCCAGGACGTACGGAATCCCTCAAGATGTGATCGACCAAGTCGACCCAGTCACGCTATATGCTCTTGTTGCTACTGCCGATTCTTTCCAGTCAGCCGGCATCCTTGATCCCTTTGAGCTCTACAAAGATCTCCATGTAAGTGAAGTAGCTACATGTGTCGGCTCAGGCTTCGGTGGCGTAACGAGTATGCGCGAGATCTTCTATGAACGCTTCATCGATCTGGACCCTGCAAAGGATGCTCTTGCGGAGTGCTTCATCAATTCAACCAGTGCCTGGATAAACATGCTACTCTTATCTGCAGCCGGTCCTAATCGAACACCCGTCGGCGCATGTGCTACTGCGCTCGAGTCAATCGACACAGCCTGTGATCTTATTCAGACTGGAAAAGCAAAGTTCTGTGTCGTTGGTGGCTGTGATGATTTTCTCAAGGAGACATCAATCGAGTTTGCTAACATGAAAGCTACTGTCGATCCTGGCCAAGATGCTATGAACGGCCGCGATCCCGCAGAAATGAGCCGCCCGACTACTTCGACCCGTAAGGGCTTTGTGGAGTCCGAGGGCGCGGGGATTCAACTGGTCACGACTGCCACTATCGCGCTGAAAATGGGCCTTCCTATCCATTGTATTGTCGCCTTGTCATCCACTACAATGGATAAAGCTGGTCGTTCCCTACCTGCCCCTGGACGTGGAATCCTGGGAGCAGCAAGACAAAGCAATACCAAGCTAGATTCCCCATTGATCAGCATGAAATACCGCAGGAGAGCTCTGGATGCACGAATGCAACAGGTCGAGGATATGCGTGGGCTTCAGCTGTCTTACTTGGATGAGGAAGTTGCCCAGCTCATGGAAGAATCAACCATCGATTTCTCCATTGATCACTACTATCTGCAACGCGTCAAGGACATCGAAAACGACGCTGTCCGAGACCAGAAAGAGGCTCTCGACTTGTACGGGAACCAGTTTTGGAAACATGACCAACGTATCGCACCTATACGGGGTGGACTTGCTGTCTGGGGCTTAACCATCGATGACATTGGCGTGGTATCATTTCACGGCACCTCGACAAAAGCTAACGAGTCAAACGAAGCAGCTGTTATCAGTGAGCAATTGAAGCACCTGGGTCGAAAGACTGGAAACGTTGTTCCTGTCATTTGCCAAAAAGCCCTTACTGGCCACCCTAAGGCAGCTGCGGGAGCCTGGATGATAAATGGATGCATCCAAGCCATGCATGACAAGAAGATACCTGGGAATCGGAATGCAGACAACATTGATTCGGAGTTCCAGAAATATGAGTATCTCGTGTTCCCCAACAAGACTCTGGAGAGGGGTGAAGATATCAAGGCCTTCCTACTTAATTCCTTTGGTTTTGGACAAAAAGGAGCAATTGCAGTTGGTGTCAATCCAAAGTACCTGTTTGCTGCTCTGAACCAGGGTGACTATGAGATATACACGGAAAGACGAAGGACTCGAGAGAAGAAAGCTATTCGGCGATTTCATGAGGCTATGCAATGCAACACCGTCTTTCGGGCAAAGAAAAGCGCCCCTTATGCTAAGGAAGATGAGACTGCAGTTCTGCTGGATCCGGGATCTAGATTTGGGGTATAAAGGAGTTTATTTGCGTCAAGCAAAATGCAAAGTTCTGATCAATTTGGTGTGTTCACTCTAGTATGGAATGAAAATATTGTTCACCCGGCTTTCTCGAGGAGATGATGAGGTTTGTTTGGCTCTAAAAAGACTCCTGCCTTGCGTGTCTCAGTTTCTTCGCGAGCATGCTGGATTATCCAAAACGCCGTGTCCCAAATGTGTCACCCTTGATCATCGATTGAATTCCTCAAGGACGAGAGTAATTATTCACTAACAGGCAGCAAGATCCGCCGATGGCGGTGAAAGCCAGAATTCAATCTATCTTTAGAAAGCTACCAAGCTCGAATGCCGGGCACGCCGGGGTGCCATGTCTGACTCATATAGGATTCGGCAATAGTACTGGGGTGGTTTATTCCCATCTCCGGGAGCTGAGATGTCCATCATTGACCATCTACGAAGGCCTTGAATACAACCGTCCGGGATCACACCATGAAGCCATATGAAGGCTCATTCTAGCCTAACAGATACTACTGCGGTCAGCATCTATGTAGGAAGAAATGCAATGGAATCGCCGCCAATGCTGCATGCGGGTCAGATCGGTGTCGTAGTCGGCGCAAGTCTTGGAGTCCATGGCGAGAGCGGTGGGATTTGTTTACGGCCAGAAATCCAGGCATCCCAATTTGGGGACATAAGCGCCGAACCGACTACCTGGCTGCATCGTTAATGAGCACCCTAGATGTAAGACCGAACTCCACGAACGCTAGCAGTAGTTCCCGGGCGTGGCGCGCATCGGGGCTGAACCCCAAATCAGCGAACAAGGTCCTAATTCAACTTCATGTCTAGTTGCTCTCTGACGCCACAAAATTAGAGACACGACCGGGGACATCGGGGATCATGACATGTCGGTTGCAGGGCATTTCGTGATCAAGAGTGGGGAATAAGCGAGACTTACTGAATGCAACACCACAACGTCCTCTGGCTAGAACATGATCATTTATATTGAGCATGGTAAGCATGTCATATTCGCCTAAACAAAGGTTAAAATAGGCAGCAGAACATGCGAATGTGGCAGTATTATTGCTAAATAGCGTCTCTGAGTCTATTGTCCTGTTCCTGATCATTTCGCGTTACCAGATCCTGTCATGGACAACTTTTCGAGCATTCCTGCGCCAAATTCTCAAGATCACGGAAAGGGCACGATGGACTACGCAAGTTCGATCCACTCAAACTCATCGTCCTTGCATTCGTTCTGTTTGACACACACACCGCAATCAGTGCGTTCAACGCGATCAGAGTACGAAGGCTTCTGTTACGAATGGAACATTCCAGACATACTTCACAGTCATATTGTTCATCTGTGGGGGAATTTCACTGCAGAACTTCGAATCACAGCGAGGGGCATTGACGATCAGCCTGCCTCTTTACTTGAACTGTTGTTCCAATTCCTATCATACCTTATACACCACGAGCTAGATGAGTATCGAGGCTTGTTTCACTCCGATGGCGCGGAGCTTCTATTGTCCCAGATAGAATCTGACTTCCTTGGAGACTGCAGCATTCAAAGCGTCGTGGCTCAAATACCTGGAACCTCTTCACAAAAGCGGAATATCATTCAAGCTTATGTGGCAGCCACCAAACACCTAAGATCTCAAAGCTTGAGAAGAGAACCAAGAATCGCCGCTTTCGACAAGATTATAGGCCAACAACTCCGGACGTACGCTGTATTTGGAGGCCAAGGCAATACCACAGACTATTTGAAAGAGCTCCGCACTCTTTACAAGACTTACACGCATGTCTTGGAGCCATTACTGGCTACTGCGGAGGAGACATTCCGGGCCCTTCTTCGAGATGCATCGGCTTCCAGAACAAAATACTTCAAACATGGTCTAGAAATATCTCAATGGGTGAGAAGGTCTGAAAGTGCTCCTTCGACACACTACTTGCTTTCCGCACCTGTCAGCTTTCCTGTGATAGGACTGCTGCAGTTTGCAACATTCGCTGTCATCTGCTGGTCACTTAAGAAGACACCAGGAGATGTGACGCAAACCTTCAGAGGAATGACAGGTCACAGTCAAGGCATCGTGGTTGCCGCTGCTCTTTCGACAACTACAACGTTGGAGTCTCTTCATTGCGCTCTTGTTCAGGCGTTGACAGTATTGTTTGAGATCGGCGTATCAGCTCAAGAAGCTGCCCCAAATGTCGACATTTCTTCTTCCATCACCGCGGAGACGATCAAGAATGGCGAAGGAAGTCCAACACCAATGCTGAACGTGGCAGGGTGCAAAATGGACCGATTACAGAGCTACATCGATGAGATAAACTACTTCCTCGATGAAAGCCAGCGAGTTTCGATCGCACTCATCAACGGTCGAACAAACTTTGTTGTATCCGGGCCTACACTCTCGGTGTGTGCTCTGGCAAGAAAGCTACGCCGACTCAAGGCGGCGCCAGAACAAAACCAGGACAAAACGCCGTTCTCTTCAAGGAGACCAGAGTTCTCGCTTCAGTTCTTACCCATAACAGCACCTTTCCATACCGCATATTTCAGCAACACAGTTCCTGTCGTAGTGGCAGCGCTTGAGAGCGTACAAATCTGTCCAAGTAGTTTCAGGGTGCCCGTCTATCATACTCACACCGGACATGATCTTAGGGATTCTGAGGCTCAGAGTATTGTGCCTGATCTTGTCAAAATGATACTGTGCGAGGTTGATGATTTGCCCTTGTCAACCAGGTTCCAAGCTGCTACGCACGTAGTCGACTTTGGTCCAGGTGGAATGTCTGGGGTCGGTTCCCTCTTGTTGCGCAACAAAGAGGGTACGGGATTGCGAGTGATTCTTGCCGGACTTGCCGAAAGTTCTATCCCTGAGCTCGGAGACATAGCCGAGCTTCTGAGTGACATGCCCATCTTTGGTGCAAACTGGGCTGCAAAATACTCCCCACAGCTGGTTCGAACGAAAGAAGGTTTCCAGATCCGGAACAAAATGACCCGCCTTCTCGGGCTCCCGCCATGCATGGTCGGGGGTATGACGCCGACAACAGCTTCCTGGGATTTTGTCGGTGCTATCATCTCAGCGGGCTATCACGCGGAGGTCGCAGCAGGTGGACTGCACACTGCAGAAGACTTCAATAATACTATCAAGAGCCTCGCCAGTTCGATTCCATCGGGCAGAGGGATCTGTATCAACATCATCTATGCCAGTCCTCGTCAGATACGGTGAGCAACTTCCGCTAATTCGAAAGCTTCGTTCTGAAGGGTTCCCAATCGACGGCATCACCTTCGGCGCCGGTGTTCCATCCACTGAGTCTTTACGAGAATATCTGGATATTGGCTTGAGATACCTGGCCTTCAAACCTGGGTCGGCCACTGCAATTGATCAAGTCATCGCAATTGCACGCGCGAATCCGGATGTTCCAATCGTTTTACAATGGACTTCAGGTCGGGGCGGTGGCCACCATTCCTATGAAGACTTCCATGACCTGATCATTAAGACGTACGCCAAGATCAGACGATGTGATAACATTGTCCTGCTTGCCGGAAGCGGCTTTGGTGGTGCGGCAGATACCTATCCTTATCTTTCTGGAAATTGGTCTTCTCGATTCGGTCTTCAGCCAATGCCATTTGATGGTGTCTTATTCGGCAGCCGGATGATGGTCGCCAAAGAGGCTCATACTAGTCAAGGAGCCAAAGAAGCGATCGTGGCAGCTCCCGGAATCAACGAGGAAGCTTCATGGGAACAAAGCTACCGGAATCCAGTCGGCGGCATCATCACAGTCAATAGTGAAATGGGCGAGCCAATCCACAAGTTGGCGACGCGAGGTGTTCTTCTCTGGCGAGAACTCGATGATAAGGTTTTCAGCATATCGGACAGGGCGCAGAGAATACAAAAACTGATGGAGATGAAACCCTACATCATCGAACGGCTCAACAAAGACTTCCAGAAAGTCTGGTTTGGACTTGACAGTCAGGGCATCGCTGTTGACCTAGAGGACATGACCTACGCCGAAATCATCGGGCGCCTCATTCAGCTCTGCTACATCAAGACAGAATCTCGCTGGATTGACAAAGGCTACAAGCAGCTGACAGCAGACTTTATTCGTCAGACGTATAGCCGCCTTCAGTGCTCTGCGTCCGCAGAAATTGATATGGAGCAACCGCTACAGGGCCTACAGGAGGTAATGGTATGCTGCAAAATTGCAGAAAAAGAGGTGGTGACATACAGCGACGCTCGATACTTTATTCTTCTCTGCAAACGCCAGGGTCAGAAACCACCTCCCTTCATTCCCGCCCTCGATGAAGACTTTGAAACGTGGTTCAAGAAGGACTCGCTTTGGCAATCGGAAGATCTTGCTGCAGTGGTAGATGAAGACGCTGGACGCATCTGTATTCTGCAAGGCCCCGTTGCCGCAAGATATTCCAAAAAGATCAACGAACCCGTGGCTGAGATATTGGGCGATATTTGTCAACAGCACATTAGCCAAATACTCAGAGATGCATACAACAGTGACGAAACGCTCATCCCGTCCGATGGAACGGTACTCCGACTCGGAAAACCAGCACAACACACCGATGTCCCGTCATGCTGTCGTGTCAGCCGTCAAGGATCTGAGACTATTTACTACATAGATGAGACAGCATCTCAAGAGAGACTACCACATATGGATGGCTGGACCAGGGCCCTTTTGGGAGCTGAACGGTCGTGGCTATCCGCCCTCGTCATGTCAGAGGACATCATGCGGGACAAAATTGTCATCCCGAATCCAATTCGGAGGGCACTTGCCCCGCTCCCTGGTATGCAAGTTGTGGTAGCTCATGCTACGGTACCGTCGGCACTTTCTCTCGTCGTTTATGAGAACGCCTCCAATGGTCTTCCATCATTGGAGATCCGCAAGAAAGGCGATCTGATATTTGTGACGGTGTTTGTGCACGATTCCGTTGTAGGAAACATACTTTCTCTTTCATTCCGATTTGCGCATCGCCCCGATACCCCCCTTCATCCCATCTGCGAGATTAGTGAAGGTCGTAACAAAATGTTGAGGAACTTTTACGATCGACTCTGGTTTGGATCTGAGGTGTGCCGGGCAGAGCCAGATACTTCAGAACTCAACCTGTCGAAGCTTGTTGTCGAAAGCCACCCAACTAAAATTTCTCTGTCCTCCGTTCAGGCTTTCATGGACAGCATTGAGAGTCCGGAAGGAAGGGGCATTTTCAAGGATGTTGTACCTTTAGATCATTGTATCGTTGTTGCATGGGAGGCCATGATGAGAGCCACCTTTGCCGGCGCCATTGGATGCGACTTTCTGAGTCTTGTACACCTGTCAAACCGGTTCACTTTACTGAGTGAGAAACCCCTTGGCATCTGCGACAAGGTGACCAGTACAGCCGAGATAAGAGCGGTCCGGAACCTCTTGTCTGGACGATCAGTTGAAGTCGTCGCTACCATTACCCGTGACGGTCTTCCAGCTGTCGAAATCACCTCAGAATTTCTCTTTCGGGGCACATACACCGACTTTAGCGTCTGCTTTGAAAAGCGAAAGGAACCTAAGATGGTGCTGACCATTGATCATGTGGCTGATATTTCTGTTCTCCAGAGCAAAAAATGGGTGTCATTGGAGCCAGACTTTGACCGTAAGCTGCTACTAGGCCAAAGGCTAGTTTTCGACTTGCACACTCTTGCTCACTTTGCATCTGCCACGACTCATCGCAGACTGCAAGTATCCGGACGTATATTCATCGAAGATCCTGGGACGAAATCATCGCGTGTAGTAGGCCACGTAGACTATCAGTCTACGAATGCGACAAGCAGCAACCCAGTAATTGACTACTTGAATCGTTGCGGGACACGAATGGACGCCCGCAATCCACTTCCAACGCCGCAAATCTTGGGAGATCAAGAGACTCTCAGCATATCAACACCAGGTGACAACAATGCCTACGCACGAGCCTCTGGTGACTTTAATCCAATACATGTCTCTCAAACAGTCGCGAGATACGCCAACCTACCTGGACCAATTACTCACGGCATGTATACCAGCGCCGCTTTGCGTCAAGTCGTTGAGAAAGCTGCCAGGTGTAGTGATCAAGTACACATGCGGTCGTTCAAGACTTCGTTTGTGAACATGGGTTTTCCCAATAGCGTTCTGGATGTACAGATTCACCCACATTGCGATGAAAGATGGTCTGAGAGTGCTATCATTTCAGGCCATTGACTCAGAAAACAGACAAGTTGTTGTGGAGGGTGAAGCAGAAGTCGATCAACTGCTCACGGCGTATGTCTTCACTGGTCAAGGAAGCCAAAAGGAAGACATGGGAATGGACCTCTATGCCACCTCTGAAGTAGCAAGACAAGTCTGGGACGAGGCCGACAGGTTTTACTCCGATACATACGGCTTCTGCATCAGCGATATCGTCAAGCGAAACCCCAAGCAACTCACTATTTTCTTTGGAGGAAGAAAGGGCAAAAAACTTCGAGAGAACTACATGACGATGATGGTTGAGTCTATTGATGGACAGCCAGAACGATTCTTCAAGTCAATAAAGCCCACGACAACGAGCTACACATTTCAACATAATGCCGGTTTGCTTTTCAGCACTGAATTTGCCCAGCCAGCTCTTACTGTCATGGAACGCGCTCAATTCTTGCACCTGAAAGATCAAGGCTTGGTCACTACGACCGCACTATTCGCTGGCCACTCACTGGGCGAGTACACATCTCTCAGTACGATTGGCAACATCATGTCTTTCCAAAATCTTCTCTCAGTGGTGTTCTACCGCGGTCTTACGATGAGAAGTGCCGTCAAGAGAGATGGCCAGGGACGTTCCAAATTTGCCATGGTGGCAGTAAACCCTAGTCGGGCCAATACTACAGCAGCCGTACTTCTGAAGGTTGTGACAACCATCGTCAGCGCTTTGCCTGAAGACCTACTGGAAATCGTAAATTACAACGTCGAGACGCAGCAGTATGTTGCTGCTGGCACTTTGAGCGCGCTATCGTGCCTCGGCGATGTGATGGACTACGTCTCAAAGAACCGGAAGCTCTGTCCCGAAGAGATGGCTACATTCATCGCATCTAGAACTGCGTTCATCATGGATCAGATGCCCACTCTCACACGAGGAGTAGCTACGATACCGCTAGAAGGCATCGACGTGCCTTTCCATAGCAGCTTTCTCCTACCAAAGATGTCTGCCTTCAGGCGCGTACTTCAACAGTACATTGAGCCTGGCGCCATAAATTCGGAACGCCTGGTTGGGAAGTATATTAGTAACGTCACTGGAAAGCCATTTGATATTACACATGAGGGAATCAGTTCACTGCATGAGTTGACTGGAAGCATTGTTCTAGAGAAACTGTTGGCGGAGATGAAGCCGTGATATTTGAACTCCGGTAAATAATCTGTTCAAGGATTCGTAGTTGAGAGTTTCCCCTTATTTACATATTCAACCAATGTTTCACAATTCGCGACCCTGCCGAAATGCCTGCAATGCTCCATATCACAAACCGTGATTAAGAACACCAACACGCATTTCACAATGTACAATTCTGTCAGGTCACACGTAATCACGTGTCAGCCACATATTGCACTGAACGAGTCAGAGGGCCATTTTCGACCATGAATCGAATCAGGTGTATGTTTGTAATTCTAGAAACAAGCAGGACACGTCTTCTCTCTGTCATCTCCTCGGATCTCGTCTCCAAAGCATCGCGCCATTCCAGAGGCTGAAAACGCTACGTACGTGCAGAAACTTTGCGTGCACTTGTTCATCGACAATATGAAAGGTGTTCTATCGTAAGCCGCCAATATTTGACCGCAGGAACTTCGACCATACGCCTCTACATCATGCCATGCTAACACTGAGAAGTCATCAATATGGAGATGGTTCGCGTCCGAGTATAGTATCCATTGGACCGCAGTAAAGGCTGGCACCGGTTGGTCTAACCTGACCGCTTCGTCCCGCCGCTAATACATAAGCCCATGCAAGCTTACGGTAAACGCCTGCCGCATGTGATGATCGAAATTTTCCGAATTCAGCCACTGGGCGTGTCCGACCCTTCCGCAACCCTTGTCCGCGTCAGCGCTATAACGTAATTAAAGGCGTATCTGCGCCCTTTGAGACTACATCCGCAACCGCGAATGGAGTTTCTTAGACGCTACCACAATGCAGTCGCTGGCAGAGTCCGTAAACCGATTCTCACATGCATTGTCTTCAATCTTAAGGTTCCTTCGACTTAGATTTTTTTGAGCCTAGTATCACGTTCTTCTCTAGCCTTAAACTGTCGGCAATTTTATAGTATAGATGACAGAGCGATTTCTTCTTGGCATCACTCTGTCAGCATTATCGTTATTCCCGGACGTTGCTTGATCGACGCGCTCAGACATGTCAGCCCTGTGACCGGTGCGTCATCCTTAGCGCCGATGCAGGGGGGATGCAGGGGGGATGCCGGGGAGATGCCGGGGATGCCGAGAGCTTAGAAAAACAAGACAATGCATGCGAACACGAAATGCGGTTACAGCAGACTGGGGGTTTGCACCACGTTAAGCTTCCCAAAGATGAGGCGTCCGGGAAGCGTCTCCGTCTGTGAAGGATACACCGGCCTCCACATCTCACTTGTGCCACAGACTTGCGTTCTTCGGCCCGTCCCTGTTTCTCCTGCACGCCGCCAGGTCCACCAAAATCCTGCTCACGCCATCTGAGCAGTACGCCTTATGCGCAAGTTGATTATCAAGGTGAAAGAACTCACTTTACCCAGAGATGACCTACTATAAGCCATGAAAGGTACAATTTCTGTTTCTGACCACCTCCGGCTAAGCTTTATTGTCTTTCGCAGGGATCCAAGCTATTCTGATGGATGAAGGACTTCACATGATGACTCCGGCAGAATACAAATGTGATGACCAATAATCACTTCGAAACCTGCAGATGCGTTGCAGATACGCCATACATGGAATGCAAGGACTAATGTCTGACCTCCTTCGGCCAAGCTTTTTACTCAGCCGCAAGAACTCAGCATCTCCGAGAGACAAAGCACGGGAATTGATGAGCAGGGGTGAACACAATATTGTCTATTCCCTTTTTGAATCTCACCACCTGCAGATGCTGTTTACATAGATCCTACAAGAAGCCACGTGGGAAGAAAGTTCTGTTTCTGACCACCTCCGGTGAGGTCTTCGTCTCAGTTGCAGGGCTCAAGGACTGAGGGAATCTAGAGAAAATACAAAAAGGGTATATCAAAACCCTGTCAACGTAAGACAGTCAGCGATGAGCAAGGTCTCAGTCTGTCAGAAAGCCATTGACTTGGGTGTGCGAGAATGGTAGCGAGGAAACCACTATCCGTGTCAGATTAACACCATAGAACTGACAATGTAGCTTGTCATATGAGAATCCTTCACTCATCCATGCGATAGGAGGGGCGGGGGAGGTCAAGACCGGAGAAAGAGGTGGATGCATGAATCCTGAGGGTCTGAATTTGGAATCGAACGCGAGATGGCGATGAGTAAACCACTGTGCAACTTGCATAGGCAGTGCGTTCAGGCTACAGCCCAGTATTAGGAATTACTCGGCAAGCGTATGACCAAAGGCAAGACTCTCGTCTTGGTGGAGGCTGAAAATGTGCCTCGCGACGAGCTCACCCACTGAAAGATTCCGTCCCTCGAATAAAGCAAGCGGCCGAAGACCTGAGACGTAAAGGCCGCCTAGCAACGAAGACGTTTTCGAGGTCAGAAGCTTCCCCAGCATCGAGACCAACGACCAAAATTTGCTCTTCTCTTCAGGCCAATTCACTTCTCTCCAATTCTTAGACCTTACTATCAAGCAAAGCATAACCAAAAACAAGTCGCACCATGGCTCCCCCTCCTGCCCCCCTGGAGACCATCAACTGGTCTACCCTCACCCTCAATGTGCCCACTGAGGCAACCCAATCCCAACCCATCCCCTCTCACGTGGAAACGACCTTCACCCTCAGAACCTCAGAATGGAGCCGCCCAGTGGTGCACAAATCCCCTTACCTCACGCTGCACGGTCTCTCCCCCGCCCTAAACTATGGCATGCAAGCCTTCGAAGGCCTCAAAGCCACCCGCCACACCGACAACACCATCTCGATTTTCCGCCCGGCCTTCCATCACGCACGCCTCGCTCATTCCGCTGCGACGATCGCACTGCCATGTCCGCCTCTGCACACCTTCCTCTCCGCCTTGGAGCTTTTGGTCAGAGAGAACGTGCGCCTTCTCGGGCCACCTGAGAGCTCGGCAATTCTGTACATCAGGCCGGTTCTGATACCTACATCTCCTCATCTGTCTCTCACGCCCGTGCCGCACACAGTCACGCTGGCAATCTTCGCGCACCCTGCGACGACGTATCTTGGCGTCCGGCCTGTGCCGGCGTGTATATCGACGACGTATGACCGCGCGGCCCCGCTAGGAGCGGGACATGCGAAGATTGGGGGAAACTACGCAGCTGGGATCGTGCCGGCCCAGGAAGCGATGAAGCGCGGATTCCCCATGCAGTTGTTCGTGGACGCGGGGACGAGGAGCGAAATTGAGGAGTTCGGGAGTTCGGGGTTTGTCGGGGTTAAGAGTGATGGCACGTTGGTGGTGCCGGAAAGTAGGCAGGTCATCGCTAGCGTGACGAGTGATACGTTGCAGGTGATTGCGAAAGAGGTATTGGGGTGGAAGGTGGAGAAGAGACGAGTGGGTGTTGACGAATTGGCAAGTTTTGAGGAAGTCATTGCTGTCGGAACTGCCGGTAAGCGCAATTGCCTACCCGTCATTAGATGGTCTGATGCTGACTTTGAATAGTGTCTGTCCTGCCCATTGCGAGTATCACGAACGAAGAGACGGGCGAGAAGTTTGTGTACTGCGAGAACGGGGATGCACGGCCGGTGGCGAAAAGATTGAATGAGGATATCGGAGAGGCCATTAGAGGTGCTGGGGAAAATCGGTTTGGGTGGAGGTATGAGGTAACGTTTCCGGATGAGGCTGAGGATGAAGTTGAGAGTGCTTTGGCCTTCAAAGTTGGTATTGAGGTCAAAATTGAGGATATACAGGCTCATAGTGCTGCTCCGTAGGGTATTGATGCAGTTTGTCTGTTATGAACATGTTCATATTCGATGTCACGCCTTCTAAACGGTGCAACATGGGAAGTGCGTAGACAATGGGATTCTAAGTGGATGATCATTAGAAGATCATGAAGCGCACTGATCTTCATCGCCAGGAAATATGTCAACTGATCTACTTATCTTTCAGTAAAGCTTAGTCACTCTTTCTCAAGGTGATCGCAATTCAACAATGGCCAAAGTTTGAATTTGTATTTGTTATGGAAGACGTTTTAGGTAAGAGAGGAGATGGATTACGGGGAAGAGTTGCCTTGTCCTAAAGCTATGCTACTTCAAATGAAGCCTTGTTTGTATCCTTTCACCGTGCACAGTATACGCGGTCAATTTGTCGTTACTTGGCATCTCTGAGGTAGCTGTTCCTGCGCATACCTCTCAATATAAAACTCGGGGGCACTGTCTGCTTTCGTGTCTACTTATCATCGATGGGGGAGTCGAGGGATATGAGTACCCAGCTTAGCCCACATACCCGCGCTGCCGGTATGCGTTGTATGTTGCTGGCTCAGGACTAATTTCGCGATGATTGTCCGCAGCTGGTGGGGGGCGAAGGCGAAGCTGCTCTCTGGAGTTTGGAGATGGGTCTCGCGATAGTGCTTCCAAGAAAGGGTTGACTGGGGCCACAGAAACACGACCCCTGGAGTTCTTGAGGACGGGATACATCTCTTGATTTTCCTCGAGCTCCGAATCTTCGCCCAAGCGGTGATGGTGAGGACCTGCGTGGCCCATCTTCCCATTGCAGTCGTCACAACGACGCTTGCGACAGCAGCAGCAGAGATGGCGAGACAGCCATGAGCGCGGCATCTTGGCATCGGGACCATGAATGAAGCGACCAGGATGGAAGATGTTCCATACAAGGATGGCTAGCCACATTGGTGCCGACTCCAGGACATACAGGACCGGCTCATTACTCGGAAGAGGATTGCTGTTGCCCAGCCCACCGGAGAACTCGGCGAGGCGGTAGAAGATGCGGATGGAAATGGTAAGCAAGCACGCATACAGCGCATAGATCAGCCATCTCCAGCCGGCAGTCTTGTCCGCAGCCAAACGTCCGACTCGCTCTGCCTGGAGCTGATCGCGGTGGAACTTTATGACCAAGCCTGAGAACAAGACAATGAAGCCCTCCTGCATGCCAATGCCGCCCATGTAGATGTTCAACCCCTTCCTCTGAGACTCCGGAGTTGAGCCTGGCCCAGCCATGCCACCGCCAATGAGCTGAAGGACAAACGAAACAATGTCGAGGGTGACAAAGATGAGAGCGAGCATGGAAGGTGAGAAGAACCAGACTCTTCGAGTGGGTGCGTAGAAATGCACGATGCGGGCGAAGACCATGTACGCAAAGGCATTGACCCCTGGGAAGATGTCAGAAAGAGGAAGGGGCGTCGTCGTTTACATCCAAACTTACAAATGGGAGCTACCAAGACCAAGATCTGTGCAACAGTGGCAATGCCCGCGGATTGCTGATTCTTGGAGCCCAGCGCGCGGAAAGCATATGCACCCGTCTCCCAGAGACCGGCCATGATGATGACCCAGCAGAAGCCGTTGCGGTACTTGGCTGCTTGAAACACGTGTGCGATTACGAGAATGCCAAATAGAACAGAAAAAGCTATGGCCGCTGCGAAGTTGGGGAAGTAGACCCACAGCGCATTGCACGCATCCGCCGGAACATGGCCGTCGACGCCAGGCGTCGCGTACGAGCTGTGACCAGGCGTGCACGTCTCGACGGGGAGATCTAGTGAGATAGATGGGATGTTTGGCGGGGCGATGGACACTTTAGGGATGTTCAATGACAGAGGCGGGATGCTTGGCGCGTACTTGTCATCGCGGCGGGCCGGCGGAGCGGTGACGACAGCTCGAGCGGGAAAGGCTGGGGCGAGGGTGGGGGTGGGTTGCAGCGGCAGAGAGATGGGGCAAGAGCAAGGCGCCGAGGAGCGCAAGTGAGAATCTCATCGTAGCAGCGGCACAGCAAGCAGGTGTGAATAAGGGTGGGTGGGCTTGTGTGGCGTGCGGGTGGCGTGCAGGTGGTGAGCTGGTCGAGGTTTGGATTCTTACATGGAGAGAGCAGGAAGTTGTTAAGGAGCGCAAATCGTGTTGATGTTGATACAAACATGGGCAGTGCAGTTCTGGCAGTCGTGGACTGTGGCTGAGTAACAAAACCAAGATTGAAAACACAATGGAAACATAGGCGCCAGTGCCTAGCCGTGTACTGGGAAGACGCGATTGTGTCCGTGTGCGCTTGTCACACACAGCTGCAGTGGTTTCCTCCAATGGGATTGCTGACACATTTACCGCATACGGCAATAGTGCTGGGGCGTGAATCGCTGCAGGGGTGGATACTTGACGAGCAATCCTCCCAACCACTTTGTAACCGAGGCGCAGCACGGCTGATCAGTCATTCCTGCTCACCGATGCATCGCTCATGGCTCAGCCGCTCATGAGCCTGGCAAAGCTGCTCCTGTCCCTGAGAATGAAGTTGCGCGTCAGATTCATCAGTGCAAGGGGCACGGCCCAGAACGGTATACACCCCAGCGCTGACTGCATCACCATTGCTGATCGTATGACGCGACGTGGAATATGGCACCAAGTCCAGGCAGTGAGAACCACACAGTCAGACCCGAGTTCGCGCGCATTAACCACGCCTTAATATGAAGCAGCACAAGACGGCCAGGGGGGATTCCAGCGCCAGCTGCCAGCAGTCACTGCAGCAACCATGCCGCTTTCTTGTCCCATTCACAGCGAGGCTGCCTTTGGCCCAATCGTTGCAGCGACCCCAGCGTGTTACGACGGCTTTGACTTCACCCTGCTGTTTGAGGAAATATTATTCTCCCTGGTTCCTAATGCTATACTCATCGCTCTTCTACTATCAAGAGTCTCGCGGCTTCTGAGAACCAGAACATGTCCGTCTACTAGCAGGAGACTTGACCAATACTGGATCAAGCAGGTTAGTGTTTCACAACCTCCATCACGGATCCCATCTGCCCACTGACCTTTCCAACAGACAGCACACATTACCTTCATCCTCATCAACTCTGCGAAGCTCATTGTAATCTGTGCGTCGGCCCCGAGGACCCCTTTCTCCATATCCGTCGCAGCTCTCGGCTTGTTCGTGGCAATATGCATGTTATTCTTGACACATCTGGAGCATTATCGAAGTTCGAGACCAGCCTCACTTCTCTCTCTGTACCTCGGCCTGTCATTGCTCTTTGATATAGTCCGCACCCGAACGCTATGGATCGTCGAACGCAACCGGACATTTGCCATCACCTTCTCTATCGGTGTTGGCATACATCTGGTTCTCTTCCTGGCTATCAACATCTGCTCGAATGCTGCCACCACTGACCAAAGGCTTCCACATGAGACGAGAGCCAATGTGTATACCAGAGGGCTGTTTTGGTGGCTGAATCCGCTCTTCTGGCTAGGATCCAAAACCGTCCTCGACGTTCCGCATCTTCCAGCCATCGACAGCGGCTTGCGGTCCCAGGACTTCTTCGATGAAGTCTGGTCAAGATGGATAGCCTTACCTCAACGTACGCCTGGCACACTTCTCAAGCTTCTTTTCAGATCCCACAGGAATCTTGTCATCGAGGGCGTGCTGCCCCGTTTGGCACTATCTGGCTTCACCTTTGCACAGCCGTTCCTACTTACTAGAGTTGTCTCATACGCTACCACTACTCCCGATGCTCGACTGGAAAAGCAACTCGCATACGGCCTTATAGGTGCTACTGCCTTTATCTACGTCGGTCTAGCCATTTCAAACGCCAACGCCCAGCACAAGACATACCGTGTCATCACCAAGCTGCGAGGTACCTTGGTCTCTCTCATCTACGCCAAGACCCTGACTATATCTCTCCCAACCGCCCAGAACGGTTCTGCTATCACTCTGATGAGCGCGGATGTTAATAGGACTGCTACTGGACTGCGTTTCATGCATGAATGCTGGGCCAGCTGTATCGACATTGGTCTTGGCACCTACCTCTTGCAGCGACAGCTTGGGCCAGCGGCTGCGGCACCTGGTGTCCTCTTCCTGCTTTGCAGCGCTTTTGGTTTGCGAGTTGCCGCAAGCATGGGGGAGCGGCAACGCTTCTGGCTTGAGGCGATTGAGAAGCGCATCAAAGCAACCTCGGACACACTTGCCGCAATCAAAGAAGTCAGGATGGGTGGACTGCAACTTGTTATGGAGAACAAGCTCCGAGAACTTCGGAAGGAAGAGATCAAAGCGTCTCGAAAGTTCAAGAACGCCTTGGCCCTCATTGTCTGTCTGTCGTACACCACTGCAGCCATGGGACCTGTCTTTTCTTTTGGTATATTCTCATTCTTGGCCAAGAGGAACGACTCCACGCCCGTCACAAGTGAGATTGGATTTACCGCACTCTCTATATTTTCGCTGCTGCGCACTCCCATGGCTATGATCTTGGACGCTATTTCCGGTCTTGTCGCAGCGATTGGTGCTATTCAGCGGATAGGAGAGTACCTGTCTGCTGATACTCATCGCCGAACTTTATCTGTGGTATCCTCAGCAAGGCTCTTGTCTATCAATACAAAGGAAGCCTGGTCGCCTGTGTCCAACAACAAGAACGATATCCGGGTACCGGAATGCGAGAGCAAAGATGTAATCACTGCCGCTCACTTCTCCGCCGGGTGGAACGAGGAACAAGGCTTCGTCATCCGCGACGCCACATTTTCTATTATGCCAGGTTCATTGACGTTCATCGTCGGGCCTGTTGGCTGTGGCAAGTCGACGCTACTTCATGCAATGCTCGACGAAACGACTCACAACAAAGGACATCTCCAAACGAGTCTCAACAGCGCTGCATTTGCTAGCCAGGCTCCGTGGCTGATCAACGATACTATCCAAAACAATATCGTAGCCACGAGCATACTTGACCAGCGCTGGTATGGCGCAGTCCTCGACGCATGTGCTCTCCGTGAAGAGGTTGCTCGTCTGCCCAATGGAGATTATGAGCTTGTAGATGACGGCGGCTCAAACCTCAGCGGTGGACAGCAAGCCCGTATCGGTCTCGCTCGAGCTGTGTACTCTCGACAGCCTGTGGTAGTGTCTTGATGACGTCATGAGCGGGCTTGACGCGCACTACAGAAGATATAATATTCGCTCGTCTTCTTGGAACTGATGGCCTACTCCGGAAGAGTGGCGCGACTGTGATCTTTGCCACTAATACTCTACATCGCCTGTCTTCGGCAGATCACATCATTGTCTTGGCGGCTGATGGCACGATTGCTGAGCAAGGCCCTTACTCGAGGCTGGGATCATCAAGTTACAGCATATGTTCCAGGCCGTCAAGAAGGAGGCTAAGCACAATGACTTCAAATCCGTTAGTCTCAATGTTCCGATAGATACCCAAACAGCCTCGAAGATTGAGAGACAGGATCGTCTCACTGGGGACTTCACCATCTACAGATACTACGGCCGAAAAGTAGGCATAATCAACCTGACCATGTTCTTTCTCTCCGGAGCTGTGTTTGTGTTTGCTCTCATCTTCCCGCAATACGTCGTCAGCTGGTGGGCAGCTTACAACGTAAAATATCCACATGGCAGACTGGGTCTATATCTTGGGACTTACTTCGGTCTTTCCTGGATCGCTATCGCCGGCTTGGCGGCAGGATGTTTGATACTCATCATCAAGATGATGCCGCGTGCTTCGTCAGCCTTTCACGATGTACTGTTACGGACCACACTCGACGCACAACTCTCACTCTTATTCAGGCGACAGCGCTGCTCACATACTGAACCGCGTTCAGTCAAGACCTTCAACTGATCGACATGGAACTACCTCTGGCTCTCTTCAATACTTCTATCGAATTGCTGGCGACGTTCGCCAATCTCATCGTTATTGCTGTTTCATCTGGATACATTGCTGCCACAATGCCGGCAGTATTGATCATATTCTTCCTCTTGCAGAAATTCTATCTCCGTACAGCACGTCAGCTTCGTCTTCTAGACATTGAAGCGAAAGGCCCACTCTTTTCACACTTCTTGGAGACACTTTCTGGACTGGCCGCTATTCGAGCGTACAATGCTCAACACGACTACAAACATCGGTTCTTGAAGAGACTCGACTACTCGCAAAAGCCGTTCTATCTTCTGTTCTGTATCCAACGCTGGCTCAACCTCGTACTCGACTTCATCGTTGCAGGAATTGCCATCGTGTTTATATCCATTGCTGTCGAGACCAAAGGAAGCATTGCTCCAGGTCTCATCGGCACAGCACTCGTCAGCATCATCAACTTTGGCGTCAGCACCAAGTCTCTCCTAGAAAATTGGACGAATCTCGAAATGTGCATTGGCGCAGTATCCCGCGTTCGATCCTTCGCTCTCACAACACCGTCCGAACACAAACCGACCGAAATCTTTGAACTCCCACCCAACTGGCCGTCGCAAGGCCACATCACCTTCTCCAATTTTACCGCAGCCTGGAAAGACCGCGAAAATATCTCCGACCTCTCCCTTGAAGTCGCACCCACATCTAAGACAGCCTTCATCGGCACTTCGGGTTCGGGGAAATCCACCATTCTCTCGTCGCTACTCAACCTTGTGCCTAATACCAGCGGTACTATATGCATAGACGGTGTCTCGCTGTCTATGATTCCCCGCCAAACTCTGCGCGAGCATTTCCTGACATTACCCCAAGCGCCCTTTCTACTGCCTCATTGCACAATCAGGCAGAACCTAAATCCTTTCGACCTCACGATGTCCGATAAGCATGTCTTGAGCATCCTGTCTAAACTCAATATGGCAACCCTGATATCCAATCTGCCCAGTGGTCTCGATACGAGTACCTCTGCAGCGACATTTTCGATCGGGCAAAAACAGCTGCTATGTCTTGCGCGCATGATCCTTCGTCATCAGCATGGTGGACCTGGCCGGAAGGTTCTGCTTTTGGACGAGGCGACGGCAAGTTTAGATCTCGAGACGGATAAGGTGGTGCAGAGAGTATTGAGGGAAGAGGTCTTCGGACATGGAATGACGGTTCTTGCGGTTGCACATCGCATGGAAGGTGTTAGAGATTTCGAGTGCTTTGTTGAGGTTGGAGAGGGAAGGGTAAGGGATGTCAGGGGGAGTATAGAGAGGGAGTGTATGGAGAGGGGGAGTGGGATGGGGTGATGTTGCAAGGTGAATAGGCTATTTTGATTTAAATGTCCATATTTTCTGCGGGTTCTGAACTTCTTATTAGTTAGACTAGGTGATGCATGCATGGTTTAGAGTCAACGCCTGCTTGTACTTACTGACATGTAGCTTGAAACGCGCTACTCCGCGTTCTCTCCAGAACGCACGGGTATATACAGTCATTGCTCTGGTGCCAGGCAAGCTTTTGCCCGAAACCGCATCCCCGCAAACAATCGGTTCTTTCTATTGAGCGTATTTGCGCCATTAGCTTTCACATCCAGATTCTATTCGCAGCGCATAACGACCTACGGCTCCCCGCTGATCTGCCAATACATATGCGGAGTGCCGCACTGCAATCGTCAGATGTGGCGGTCGACGTGACATCTGCAGCCCTTGCGAACGACTTTATCTTCGCTGCTCGTTTACGTGCAGAAGACCCTACAGATTCAGAGCTGGTACTGGCGAGTCATCGCGTGCGACGTGCGTGCCGAGTTTGTCACATTGCCAAAGTTCGGGGTAGCATGAGCTGCCGCAATGTAAGCGATGCGCGACTAGAAGGAGTTCTTGCAGCCACATAGCTTCGAAGCGGTGCCCTGCAAGATCTGGGGATTATCCTGCAAATTTTCATGGTAAGTAGTATGCCTAGTGATTGGCCAATGAGCAGAAGGCTTCTTGTTGGGCCAAATCACTAAGGACTCTGGAATCAGACGCGCACGTGATCAACGAGGAGCCAGGCTATTGACGAGGAGAATTACTTTAACAAGGAGACTTGCTTCAACGAGGAGACTTGCTTCAATAAGCGAGGCCATTGACGAGCCAGGCTATTGACGAGGAGCCAGGCTATTAACGAGGAGACTTGCTTCAACGAGGAGACTTGCTTTAACGAGGATACGTGCTTTAATAAGGAGATAGGTTTTCAACAGGCTAGAGGCTGTAAATAGATCCTTATAACTCCTTACGTGACGCGCTTAGGCTACCTTATTAATAGAGAGGAATATTAAAACTATAGGCATAGATAAAAAACGTTATCTTTGCATAGCAACAGCGAGAGCTATAGAGTATATTTTTCCTCTAGAGTTAGATATTCTAGTAGAGGCAAATTAGATAGTCTCTTTAGAATAGATACTAGCTCTTTAGAACTGCTACGCAGTAAGACTAATATTCTAAACTATATATTAGATGCCTAGTAATTAGCTAATAAGCAGAAGGCTTCTTATTAAGCTAAATTACTAAGAACTCTAGAGTAATAGAGAATTAGACGTGCACGTAATTAACGAGGAGCTAGGCTATTAATAAGGAGACTTACTTTAACGAGTATATATGTTTTTAATAGGCTAGAGGCTTTAATAGGCTAGAGGCTTTAATAGGCTAGAGGCTATAAATAGATCCTTATAACTTCTTATATAATATACTTAGGCTACCTTATTAATAGTAAGGAATATTAAAACTATAGGCATAGACGAAAAACGTTATCTTTGCACAGCAATAGTAAGGGCTATAGAGGATATTTTTTCTCTAGAGTTAGATATTCTAGTAGAGGCAAATTAGATAGTCTCTTTAGGATAGATACTAGCTCTTTAGGACCGCTGCGCAGTAAGACTGACATCTACAACTATATATTAGATAAATCTAGAAAACTACGAATCGCAGGGCCGTGCTCGCTTGCTGTCCGAGTCCGAACTATGTGGTGTTGTGCCTCCATATGATTGACCAAGTATGCGTAGCTAACTACTAGAGCCTAAACGTACCCCAGAAAAATGTCTATAGCGCGCAGAGTTTGCATGTTTCGGTCAGGGGAGATTAGAAGATTACACATAGGATACGCTGGATAATTGGACCGTCACCGGCAATTGATCAAAAGCCTTGTAAACGCTGTCCGCGCTGGCACGAAGGGCTGTGGTTCCGAGAGGGCCGGGCTTAATTGAGCGATTGATCGAGTAAAGTGCTGAGGTGGCATCTGGGAGGGCGTTATATCACGTGCCGGGCCTTGTACAGGTTCTGGATCATACATAAGCAACTGCTGAAGTCTTCGTGCGAAGGAGAAGGTTTTGTCGGATCCACGTACCTGAATAATGTTTGGCTTAGAGTGTTGAAAGTCATTGGATGCCACAGGTGATGCGATTCTTAGCCAGAGTATCGTAGTGATTGATGACTACTACTACCAGCCCTCCGTCTGGGCACCTAGTCGAAGCAAAGAGCCTCATAGCACTCGAGCTACAGATATGGTATGCTTTTGCATTTTGGCCCACAATTGGTCTTGGGTCTCGGGTCGACGTTTGATGCCACGCAACGCTGTTTCTCACATACCTAGGCGTTCGGCGCTGTCGGCGTCTTAAAGAAACGCCTCTAATACTAGTTCTGAGCGAACATTTGATAAGTTGCTATCATTTTGGCCGAAATTTGACTAAGCCATCTTGGTTGCCTTCGTTCAGCACACAATCCGTGTCTGTGAGAAGAGCTGCGACTACAGTACTGCCCCACTAAGCCTTTTTGAGATCCTAAATGGTGCCGCCCTACCCTTGTCCCCCTGCGGCTTCTTCGTCCCCTCTTATCAACAGCGACACGATTTGAACCCGATAGACGTAGCCGCACGCCGACCTCTCCCAAGATCACTACGAACGAAGCCGCCTATTGCACGATGCCTCCTCATCCAGTATCCAGCCTCCATCCGCGACAAGCACCCTGAGCATGCCAATGGCCTCGCTATTTGCCATCGTTTGCTTGTTCTTAAAATTAGGCAACGAAGAAGATGCTCGGGATCAACGACGTCGTCATCAGCTGGAGTCCTTCGACTCTGCCAGCAAGTATAACACCAGCGCGAAACTCAACCCGGTCGCTGACAAGCAACTGAGACACAAATTTCGTATGCGCTTAACGATAGCGGGGCGACGGCAGCCTGGAGCGGGGTCTATGCATCCTGGACGGCGTTGACACTGTCAATCTTCACTCAAGAGATGAGTCTCCGGCGTCATGAACGATACATTGGCATTGGTTGACCAAGAATCTATAGCCTATGGCCACAAGTCATCCTTCCAGCCGGCTTGAGGGACTGCCATCGAAAACCACGAGAACAACCGCACTGTTCACGACTCCGACCTGGCCCACCGTAACTTCGTCTTCACCTTGAGGCTCCATGCTCCATCCGCACAGCCATCCTCTTCAGGTCCTACAACTCTGATCCCGCTTGTAGCTCTCGATACTTCTGCAGTTCCTGCTAGTTCTGGTTCCTATCACACCAAACCTCCTCATGAGCTGGGAGACGAAGAGTTGCAGCCCTGTATCGAGAGCGGCAACATCGTCGATGATAGAAGGGAATCATTAGCTCCTCGCGAAAGGCTCGAATCCCAGTATCTTGCCGAAATCATCAGGCGACGTTCATAACAGATAGCAGCTCGCAAAAACCTCTACCGACAATGTGGATCTTGTCAGTTTCACGGATGCTGAGCAAGACTCCGAGAAGTACGACTCATGTGAGAGCCCCAAATGTTTTTGCACGGCCACTACATCTGGGAAAGGCAGAAGATTAGACACATAGGAATGAGGACGCTTTCGCTGACGTCGGGCAAACGATTTCTCTATGAATTGCCGCCTTCGGGATCTACGTTTTGTAAGGTACTATAACCACCGCCTGTTCAGGTGCTTGGAATTTATTTAACATTAGGGTGCAGTTGGTTGCCCACTCATTACACACTCATCCAGTAACAAAGTTGACATTTTGAAGTATGTACTGAGTCCTGACGAGATTGCACCTTGATGTTGAATATTCACATGTGCTGATCACAGTATAACGGAACAGTAAGTGCCTCGGAAAGCCTAGGATGTGCCTTTATTGTTACGATACTGCTCTCATAAGATTTTCAGTTTGTTGCAAACACTTCGTCAAAAGGATGACGATTGTACTGCCCGAACTCAAGACCGATAAGAACAGATATCTGCAGATACTGAAAATTGACTATGGCTTCGACTAATCTGCAGCTGCAGCTCATCCTGAACAACCATGCGATTAAGCGTGACGGCAATTATGGTTGACCGGAAGCTCTTGCGCTTATAATCCTCCGTCTTCACGTAGGTTAAGTTGTTACAATGGTGCACCCTGAGAGAACATTCTATTACTTTAAGGACGTTAAATCTCATAATCACTCTCTTACAACGGGAGGTAGTAGACACGAAAACTATTGTCATAGCATTGACGTTATCATAGCCTTTATGTCTTAGTCTTTTGCCTAACAATAATCCGCTGTTATATCCCGTGAGAGTGTATGTAGTGACATGAGCCAAAGTGGTCTTCTAGTACCGAGGACCCCTCGTGTTGGTCCTTACATGTGTTCTCAAGGTGCGCGATACTTGTAAGTGCTCCAATAAACCTCCTTTCGGATGCCGTGTTAACACCTCATCGCTCGCGGATATGCTCACCTAGGCACTTGAAACTGTTGATAGGTTCCACCTTCTTGCTCGGCGTTCATTCGCGGTAGTAGACAGGGTGGGTCAAGCTAGGTAGACTAAAATTTTCGCCAAGTGGATTTGCGGCATTGCGATATTTTCCAGTGAACGTCGGCCAAATTCAATCTTTTTTTTCTGGCCACTCAACCCGCGTCGAGACTTTGCGATCTCATTCAAAGCTTACTCCCCGGACGCCCTATAGGGAAACCGGCGCCTACGATACAGAGACCTCTGCGCCATTGTCGGCGTCTTGGTGCTGTAATAGGTGCGCCCGTTTCAAGAACGCATCACACAAGGGTCATCTCGAACCTGCGAGCCAACAGCGAGGTCTGTCACTCAACTGCAAGGTCCTCTGGGATCATAGCTGACACAATGAGGACGTTCAGCCGAAATTTCCTGATCAGGTACTCAAGCGTGGGCACATCCACGGATAGCCCACGACAGGCGCGCAGTCAGTCTCCCCACACACCGCCCTGACTGGCGATTGAGAATCAGTCTCCGAGAGTACGTCGCAAGATCCGAATATTTTACTGCTACTGCTGCTAACATTCATCAGTGTCAACTGAGATAACGCCAGAAGCAATTCGCGACATCGCGGCTTTGGACGACAACGGAGAAGTCCCAGGCGTCCTCATATCCCGCAGCTGGGCCCACCCCACATTTCTCAGCCTTGAGACTCATAATCCCGCGCACTATCACAATCAGTTCTTGCGTGAAAATGCGGAGTCGCGACGCGAAGCGTATGACGTCATACACCTGAGGATGGTGACTACCGCCCGTCGCCGAATGCAAGTCGAGCGAGGCTATCGCGAAAGCAGGGAGACTATGAGCGGCAAAACAATGCGCAAGGAGATCAAGGACTCTCTGCCGTACATTCCCGTTGAGATACTCGACAGGATGTCCAAGAAGCACTCTGTTCTGTGCACAAAGTTCTTCTCCATTAGTAGCTCCATACAGCCGGACTTCACGATAGTCCAGCTGTTGACATTCGGCTTCTGGCGTGTAGGTCCGGTTGCGACGGTGGATGAACTCGAGAACGCCATCATCGAACTGTTTCCGTGGTACAATCGAGTTAGGAAGAACGAAAAACGTGTGCACGGGCGCGTTTTGTTCTACTCAAAAGACTGTTTTGAGCGTGAGTTCAGAACTCGAATCGTCACAAGGATATAGCGACGCACATCAAGCGAATTCGTGATGGCTTCAGCACGAGCTGCCACGAGCCGCTTTTCACCCACACTCATGTTGTTGACCAATACGGCATGGTGCCCGGATACGAGAAGGAAATATTCCCACACTTTGGTCTGAAAAACACAGAGTCTTTGTCAATGCAGCACCAACCTGGTCAGCCAATAGACTTCAACGATCTCCCGAGGGAAATACATCAAATGGTCTTCGAGAAGCTCTACGAATGTGGACCTTTGAACGGCGGCTATTCTTGGAGGCAACATCATGGTAGCCAGGAGCCTCTGCTTTCCTACCGCGGACCACCTGGATCTATCACCGAAACCACGGATGTCCATCTTCCTGACCTTGGTAGATTACTGTGGCCAAGTCTAGTAAGCAGACACTTCTGTTATATGGTGAGGGATACCTTTCCCAAGAAAGTCACATTTAACCTCGACGAACGTGACAGCTCTTTACCAGACCTACCAGAGTGGCTCAGAGGTGTACACCCAATGTATCACACATTCCTGTGGAACTTGTCCATCACCTTTGACTTCAGCGACGGTCGTAAACGTCCTAGAATCGATGGATGTTACTCTACGCGCCGTCGGTGCACGTTGCTCAGGAGCATTGGGAAGCTCTCTACTTTGCGAACTATCGACATAGTCTTCGACTTTCGGCGATTCAACATGGCGGACATACAGGCATTGAAGGTGGTATTCCAGGATCAATGGGAGATCAACGTACTTTGTCGGTTCAAGGGCATTCGAGTCTCCACCAGCGTCAGGTGGACAGACACAACAACGGGCAGATGCGTCTCATCCATCCAGAGGGACGAGAACGGCAAGGACATTCTGGACGACCAATTCGATTGGCTGAAGAGGTGTATGGGCAAGACGAAGAATCGCATGCTGCCATGCCCAGCGATTACACCCAAGCCTAGGGCTGTTTCGACCATCAAGGGCTGGACCAATGGCAAGATTGCGCTTGCCGCGATACGATATGGTGGAATATCTGTCGGGCTCACAAACAAGAAACAGCGAGCGGAATGGCTTGCGCGGCAGATGGAGGATGACTACCGCAACCCAGGGGAGCCCTAGGAAACTCGGAGTGACCAAGCAGGGTGAAGTATTGGAACAACGATACGATCTACGTTGAACAGAAATGATGGCGCGAACTGAGAAGCTCCATAGAATTGCTCAGAGCTTAAGACCATCTATCAGGGCGGCAAAAGAGTACTAATACATCACTGATTGTTTCCATGTTTCTGATCAATTTACGTGGTGTTTTGTCGTGTAGGTACCTCCGCAGTCTCACATCACGAAGCTCTCGAGCAGATGAATACTATTGAATGTGTCTTGGATCCCTTCTGCAGCTTGCTGAAACCGCTCAAGCGCGACTAAGTACCTCTGTATATTGCCGCGGCCATTGTGGCAAACGAGCAAACTAACAGATGCGTGCCGTAGTCGTGATGATGATCCTACGTCCGAGACTCGATACTGCGTCATTTAGACATGAAATAAGACCTATTCAGGTTTGAAACAATTGGAGCCGCATGTAGACGCATATACTCTCCACAGAAGAGATGAGCATGCCAAGGAGACTCGGAAATTTCATTCGCTGCTTACTTTGCAGTCACTGATAATGTGCTTTCGAATATTACCAGGTATACTAGATTGAAGCAGTGGATGCCTTGTAGCGTATAAAGACTCAGTTCAGGAGAAGCTCGAGTCTCACCATGATGTGTCGAAAGGTAACATGAAATGCTGGTTCATGAAGCTTTCCAAGTCCAATTCTTCAAGTCCACCAGCTCATCCTCTATTCATCGAGTCCCGAATCTAGGGAGAGCCACATTGACTGCTCAGTGATATCCACAGCCCCTGTATGTTGATGTAAAGACTATGAAGAGCGTTTCAGTGTGGTTATCAACTCTCTCATCGTCAACACTCTCGCTTATGGCTATGTCGCTTAGCGTCCGACGGGAGTATAAATCCCCACAATGCCGCGCTGGAACTTCCTCCCCTTTGGCAAACATTATACACAACAAGATGTATAATTTCTTCTCCGATCCGGAGTGGTACGACCCCGGCCTCGCGGCCACCTGGCCACAGGACCTGGACGACTTCCTCGCAGCCTGGGCTGCCGTGCCTGTTCGCCCTCTGGCGCAAGCTGCCTCCGCGCAGCCTCCTCCCGCGCCTCTTCCTCCTGCCCTGCCTGCCCTCGCCCCGCAGCAGCAGCAGCAGCAGCATCATCATCAACAACAAGCGCTGCCGCCCCCGCAGCAAGTCTCCGGCCCCCCGGTCGCCCAAGGCGTCCCCGCCGCGCAGCCTCGCTGGGTCTGGCTCGCCCAGCACGTCCCCAACGCAACGGGGACATACTACTCCTACAAGGCGCAGCCTGGAGTAAGTACCTCACCATGATGACTTCTGAACCGCACTAACACTCCTGACAGGTCAGCAACTCGCCCGTCTCCGGCCTCCTCCCCGGACAAGACGTGCTCGGCGACGGCATGGTCCCCGTCGTCTTCGACCAGGTGAAGACCAAGACGCTGGCGCAGGAGAAGCCAGCAGCCCTGGACGCCATGATCGTGGCCATGGGTGGTATGCCGGCCGCTGGCAACGGCCGTGCACCACCCAGCGAAACCGCGAAGGCGCGGTGGATCATCGAGAGTGAGGCGCCGCTCTCCACTCCCGCCCCTGTGCCTGGTGTCGTCTCTGCTGGGTTTGTGGCCGGCCCTCCGCTGGCAACGGAGTGGCTTCTCGGCTCGGTGGTAGGTGGTGTGCTGGTGGTGGGCCCGGCGACTGAGGATGAGGTGGTGGGCTGAGCGGGCTGGTGTTTGGCGTTGGGGGTTCCGGTCTGGTGGTGGTGGTGCTTTTGCTGTATTGTTTTTTGTATGCATATGTTGGCGTTTGGGCGGGCGCAGGGTGGGCGTCCGGTGACAAAAGTGCTTTGATCTTGTATCATAATGCATCTCTCTCCTCTTGACTTTGGTATCCTCTTTGAAAGGCATATTGACTTGTGGTCATTGCGTGCTCTTCGTGCAATCTGGCGCTCACAGTTGCTGGGGCTGTGCCCGCAGGCTCTTGACTGCTGTCAATGCAAAAGCTCCTTTTGTGGATGACACATGAGGGGGCATCTTGGGGCATTCTGGTGCAAAATGCGATGACGGACCCCGCAGTCGTGACGAAGAGTGGTATGTCAGCCATCGTGGCTTTTCGGGGCTTCATCATGCAAAGGGGGCCGCGGCCTTCTGTAGACACTACAACGCCTAGAGACGCTCAAGGGCTGTTCCCCATGGACAAAAAGTCCACAGCGAGCTCTCAGAAAGTGAGATTGCGTTGCGTGATCTTGGCGGGGCGTCTCTGGTGCCTTTGGTTTTCTCTTCTGCGACTCCATCTCCATCACCTCAACACCCCGCGTCCCCCCCCACCACAGCCACAACTACAACCACAAATTCTTTGCTGCAGGGCCGATCAGCCATACTGTATTCCTTGAGCCTGACCTGAAGGTCACTGTCGTCGTCACAGCTACCCGCGCAGCCTCCCCTGACTCCCGCCTTCGCCGACAATGGCTGCAGCTCCAACGGGCAGGAGGCCAACGCCACGAACATGGCGCCACGACGAGTGGGCCCATGCGCATGGCTGGCCTGGCTTGGATGAGAAGTACTGGCCCTCACTTTCTGGTAAGTCGGCCTGACACAAGGCGCAACACAGCTAACGGTGGCAGATGCGCACCCCAAGGGCACATTCTCGATGCCGCCTGAGCGCCGCAAAGATCCGTACCGCAAGGGCACGCAGGACCTCAATTTCCGCTCCCTCCACTCCAACGTTGATCTGTCCGCAACCATGTCAAGCCGACGTTGCTGGACGGGCGGCGATGAGACAACATTTGACGAGTGGCTCGCGGCGGAGCGGGACCGCGACAACAAGTTCCTCGCATACATCGACACCGCCGACGGCATGGCCGCACTAGCAGCAGTCCGCAAGAAGTTCCCAGGTTTGCCGCAGACGACGATGCAGTCGGCGGGCGACGTGATGTGGTTTGTCAGGGAGGCGTCGTCTCCAAACACATACCTCAGCAGCCTGCTCGACACCATGGAGTACGAGGCGGCCATGCTGCCCGTCATATCGCCGCACCAACTCTTGCTTCTCGTGCTCTTGACGTCTCCCAGTCGGAGCATGACCCGCTGCGAAGTCATGCATGGAGTCGGAAAGGTGTCCAGGCACTGGGGAGACCAGCCGGCCGACTTTGAGCTCGCCATGGAGCGGATCTGGCATAGCGAAATCCTCGGATACAACTGCTCTCAATGCGTAACGCGTTCCGGCCTTGTCTCTGTCGCCACCACTTGTGAGCGCGTCTTGGCCGTCGGAGAAGAGAATGCCTTTGCAACATGCCGTTGGCGGCAGCAGGGCAAGGACCAGCACTTCTTGACACCTCCATATCATCATGCGAAGCGATACCCCAAGCTTGGAGCTCCCGAAGCCAATGATGATAGTACAGACCAGGCTGGAAGCGACCATGTCGTTCTGGTTGAGGACACACCAGGCCCTCGGCGCTTGCAAGATCTCCCGGCCGAACTCATTCTGGCGATCTTCAAGGAGGTCACGCATTATGACGGCATCTTGATCCTGGAATGTCTCAACACCGGGCATTGGTGGTCGGATCCATGCCTCAAAGCAGTCGGTACAGCGCAAACATTGTGCGATACCCAATCATGGACAAGAACAAGCCAGGATAAAGTCAACAGATATTGGGCAGACACACACGATATAGGCACCCGTTCACTCTTCCCGGGATGGATCAAGAGATGCATTGGACTTCGAGCCCTCAGGAAGCAATGGGACTTTGTCGTAGCTGAGTCCCTCCTCAACAGGTCCGTAATCATCGAGCAAGCGATAAGAACCTCACTGGATGGAAGCTTGTTTGACTGGTTTATTCCATGCAAAGGCACGAACCCCATGGCACAAGCGGACATCCTCATCCAATACTCCAACGGCTTTTGGGTATACGACTCACCAGTGAGCTGCCATCCTGGAGTCCTGAACATCAACCAGATTCAAAAGTTTGATGGCAGCCTGCGATCCGCTCTCAGCGACAAAGACGACCTGGAAGAGGATTGGTTCCTCAATTCAGACCCATCACAGGGCCTCCGGGTCCACGGGTATTTGCTGTCTGCAAAGCTCCATGCCGTGGAAAGCTTGGGCATGTCAGATAAAGAAAGGATCTGGCGCTTCCTTTGGGCCGTTATGGAATGTCCGGACTCCGCGCCCAAAATCGGCTCCAAGTACGTCCTCAGGCTATTCTGATCGATCGTCGTCAAGGCAGCTTTCGTGTAGTGGCCTTCGGTTCGAGTGAAGAGCCCACTCAGAATTCTATGTATGTGTGTCGCGCGTACAAAGCCGCGACCGTACCCGTGCTGCTGGTTTGCGAAGCCCTAGGGTCAAGACATATAAAGGCATATTTTCTGCATGTCTCGGCCCACTGAGACTCCAAAACATGTGGGTCTCGCCAGTGATGAGCCACTGATGCTCCAACACATGTGTGTCGAGTACCCAAAGCCTCGGCAACGTGCCTGCGGCGAAGGTGGTCGATTTGAAAATCGTATATGTGAAGAGCTGCATAAAAAACACTACCGGTGAGAAAGAGGCGGCACGTCTCGAGAAATACTGTCTCATGGCGTGTCGAGACGTGCTGCCTCATGGTCATGTCTGGCCGGTCTGCAGCCAATGCTGGGGCGGCAGTCGCTTCAGTCAAGGGCAAGCATTTTGAGGACTGCTTGCCGGCGTGCAGGTCAAGAAGAACACACTCAAGATCGGACGACCAGGTCACCGCATTACCAAAGTTCGCGGCCTGAATGCTCTTGACACTTGGTTCCATAGCTTTGAGAATGTCCCACTAGAACGGCTTATTGTTCCAGTTCCAGTTTCCAGACATTGCACTGGCGCAACCAGGTAAGCTTACTCACTCACTTATTAAGCCACTCTGCTAACACCCGTCGAAGATTTATCGTCGCGCCGGGTTAATGCCCGAGGCAGTCAGCATGTGGCTGCCCGACGAGAAGCCATGGTTCGAGTTGTACTTCAACCTGTTCGTCGCCGAGTTGCGTTTTCGTAGCATACCTATTCTCCAGGCGCTCCAGGTTCTCGTCGATTTCAACTTACCCACTGAACGGGGCGCCATCAAGACCATCCAGGTCTCCACTCCGGATGCGGATGAGGGCGGATCACTATTCCATCCCGTCCAGCGCTGTACTGGCAACGACTTCGGAGCATCGATTGCTCTCAAGTTCGACCAGGTCAATCTGGAAACCGCCATCGACCCGAAGCTCCCGAAGCTTCTGGAGGAGCTTGCGCACGAGGAGAAGAAGATCTCGGGCGAAATGTCCGTCAGATATGCCTCCATACTGGAGCCCGTTGCACAAGAAGAGAAGAAGATCTTGGGCGAAATGTCTGTCAAAGTTAGCCACGCACTCCTCGAACTGCCTGGTCAAGACTTCAACGCTCACCAGCTGGCGAGCAAAAAGAGGCAGTCCTCCAAGAGTAAAAACGTAGGAGAGCTTCGGGTGACAATCTCGTCGATCACGTGGGTAGTCGAGCTGGAGCTTGCGCTTCCTATCGGGCATACCTCCCCCACCGGGAAGCAAGCTCGAAGCTTTAAACTGCGGATAAGGCGTTGCGTACTAATCAAAACCACGCGTAGGCTTAAGAGTATCGATGTAATCGAGCGCTTCATTGCCAGTGGCGGGAGGTCAGTGTCCATCGCTGCCCTGATGAATGAGTTCTGGAACCTCTCCAGCGATGGCGTATTCCGCCCAAACTCCGCCACAATCATGATGTCTTATGGCATGCACCGGGCAGGCTATAAAGATCCTCCGAAGGGAGTGGTGCTCTTAACACCAATGGTACGATCTCTGCGTCTTTTCGCCCTTTGGTGAGCTCGAGCTGGTCGCTCTCCAGTGCGACGATGAGGCAAATCCCAGTTGCTTGAAGAGAAGACAGAGGCCATCAAAGTAGTTCGTCTCCAACTTACTGCTTTGATGGCATCTGGCGTTTTGGCAAGAAGCTTTGTCGCCATTTTCTCGTTGCCGACTTTGTTGAGGTATTTGCCATCCACGCCCGGTTCAAGTCCGTAAGGCTGCGCGGCAGGCCTGTACGATATATACTATTATGCACTGTGATCAATCGTTGATTGATCGTTATAACCCTTTTAGGCATGCTGGCGCTGTGGGTGCAGACCTGCGTCCTGACAAAGTCTACCTTGCCTGGTAAGGACCTCGGTACTCATCAACTGGCATGTTAGAAGAGGCTTTCTTTGAAGAGTAAACATGTGGTAGAGCTTCGGCGGTCCACTTCAACACCACACATCCGGAACGTCGCACTGGGAGACTCGGGCGATTTGTCGCCTCGGTATCCTTCGCTACGTCGTCGCCATCATGATCGTTTCGTCATCCTCGATATCCTTCCCTACGTCTTAGCCGTCATGTTTCTCGCTGGTCGTGTGTCGATACTCTACTATCCGTCCTCCTTTTGTCTCCGCGCGACCGTCAAACCCGAAAGACGAGTATACCAGTAGAGGGCGGAACTCGCGCAATGGTGGGATCTCGAGGATACACCGTTATCGCCAACGTCGCGGATCCTGCGGCAGCTTATCCTGAGGCATCCAAAAGGTTACCCGAGGAGTCCACGGTAAGGCCTATTCACCTGATGGGCCAGACAGCGGCATGCCCATGGAAGAGAATATGGAGGGAAAGCTCACACTCGTCTCAGTCTCCTCGGCTGAGGACTGGGCACACTGCAAGAACCTACAAGGCCATTCCGGTCAAGCCTTCATCACCGACGTCACCAACCACCGGCGTCGCTCCTGCTTGTTCCCGCGTCTTTCGTACACTCCCAGCATACCGCGTAGCCTTGGAGTTTGGAAGGTATGCGAATATGTCTAGAGTAAGGTTGGCGCAATGAAAGCGTGTTGCGTCTCCCGAGCAGACAAGGTGTTCGCCCGAGTACGCTGCGACGTGAAGGCCGTGTCTCGGGTGCCTTCGATTGTGGTTTTGGGATGGTATCGGGGCATTGGTGATACTTTTGTAACGATATGGGGCGGGTTACGTTACGGGTGGATGTGGTTGTTGGGGGTGTTGTCGGAGAAGGCGTGGGGGAAGAAAAGAGAAGGTAGCGCAAAAGCGGTCACATTTGCCCCCTCCAATGGCCTAGCAACACCACAAGTACTCACCCCCGCTTTTTGAACAAACTGTGTCTAACGCCAGTCTCCGGAATATTTGGACCCAATGGAGCAACACGGCCCTTTACCATGACTTCTGCCAAGTTCAGCAGCCATGCTTCATGCGACAGCGCCCACAATCCTCCATGGCAGATATGAGTTGACGGTGGCTCGCAACCTACCTTAAACATGAAAGTCGGACCATAGCACTTGTGCGTAATACCGAAGTCGAGGAGTGACTGAAAACTTGGTTGCCAAAGGTCATTGGCGCTTTTCCTAGCCTACCACCCCCACGACAGCAGATGTACATACCAATCGCGGGAAACATTCGCGACCCATCTCGCGACCACATGCAGCGATTCACAAAGAGTCCCAGAACCCCGCAACGAGGGGTACTATCAGCGCTGCTCATTGCAACACGAAAGCTTTCACGACTCCGGTCGCTACAGGGCATCAAAGACTACGCGGGGCTCGATCCCATGGAGCAATGGGCAGTGTCCTGAGATCGCAATGAACGGAGTGACGGTAGAGGCTACGACCAAGGGTAAGAGAAAGCAGACCATCGGAATCAAGGACGAGAAGTGTACTGGTACCTGCTACACCGCGGTCGCACCGCGGGTGTTCCTGCTGCCACTATCGCGAAGTTCTCTTTCAGCCCAAGCGCTGAGGCGCGAGCGACCACATGTGCCCCGAACGGTGTGGATGCAATCAAGAGAGCAATATCTAGGAGCTATCAGGAGGATGCGGCATGACGAGGGAGAAATGGGTTTCAGATAGCTGCAATAGCAACGGGCATATTTGTGGTGGATGCGGACAGGAGACACGCAAGGGACGAAGCGATAATTCTTGCAAAGTTTGCCGACCATCTGCGGTGGACTAAGTTAGGCGAAACCTGGAAATGATCATCCGGACCGGTGTAATCTCAACGATCTCAGCGAGACATTAAAAACATAGTAGAGAAGGCGATAAAGATCCATACTTTACAAAGTCTGATGTGTACACCAAGAAACACCTATGTTTGCTCGCCTGTACCTTGATGTACAATTATCCCACGTGCCCACCAGCCACCTAATAACTATAGCGATAGCAAAGCAACTGACTCTGCGTGTTAAGAACATCTCTGATCCTGGCATCCGATCTCATACCATCCATGCTAATCAGCGTATTCAAAGTCAACCCACGTCCATCTACATCCCCACCATTAACACTTGTCGTCCTCGTCCTCCCATCACGATTCTGCCAAGTCCAAAAGTTCCGATCAACAAACGCGTGATGCAACCAGAACACCGGATCCGCAGGCGAAGCGAAAACATCCTGCATAATCGCTCCAATTCCATTGTGTCCCCAGGCATGCGCCCCACCCTCCGAGCACGCCGCCATATCCGCGTACGAACTGCGCGAGTTGCACGCATCCGTCAGCGCCTGCCGAGTGTTCTCTGTCTTCGACTCGTCCCCATTACGGCTTAAACAATGCCGTTGGTTATTCGGCCCAGGTCCGATATTCGAAGCTAGAAATGCAAATTGCCCATTGTTCACGCAGTTTCCGCGCGATAACATTGTGCCCAACCACTGCGAGCTGAAAACGCTGGATTGCTGGAATTTACCTGACCACTTTGACTCGTCGAGCCAGGGCAGGGAGCGCGTGAATCCGCATTCCTTGCGCAGCAGGTCTTCAAATGTCCAGAGGAGGTATCGGTGCCAAAGCAGGAATATGGCATTGCCGTGCACGCGGGGCGTGTTTTGCTGGTGCAGCACGACAATGTCTTCATACCTGTTTTGCGCGCCGTTAAAGTTCCCAGATGGTCGGGCGCGCATCAAGCATTTTATGCTGTTCATGTAGGCTTGGCGATCGGGGTTGGACATTGCATCCCATTCGACGCGGACGCGCGGGTTAGAGCATGTGCTTTGGCGCTTTGAGAATTGTTCTAGTTCGGCTTCGACTTCGCGAGGGGTAGAGGGCAGGTGAACTGGTGGAATTTGGAGTTCTGGCATTTGTTCTTTGATGGAGGTGAGGTTTCCTGTCATTGTGGTTACGGAGGCGTTGGCGCCGAGTATGGCGTCCATGAGCGAAAGCGGTCGGGCGAATTTGGCAGTGTCAAATGCCGAGAGCGGAAGGCATGGAGCTTGAGCATCAAGAACCTGGGCCACTAAGGCATCTGCTGGAGCTGCTACCACGGCATGGCCGGAGATGGTCAAAATGAAGGTGGTGGCTAGGAACTGCATGGCCGGTAAAGACAGTCACGAAAAGGGAAAGTGTGCAGTGAGCGTGGAGAGTGAAAAGCACCCAAATGCGCCTCTATGAAGCACAGTGAGTGGTCGACATGATCATATATCAAGGATGCAATCACTCTTCCCGGAAATAAGATGAGGTGACTTCGTCCTGTTTTGACCCACATGATGCAATAAGAAGAATGCCATATGGACGCTACTCATCCGAAACACATTTGCACGAGCAGTGATAGTGACGGCATGCAGACGAGTCGCCGTGGAATGGAATGCGTCTCGAAACGAAGTCGAGTTGAGATGAGATGAGGTGGAGGTTGGAAGAAGCCCCACTTCGCTCCCGCACCCCGCCGCCTGCGGTGGACCCTGTCGCCGATGCAGGCCCGCACTGACCCGTTTCCACAAAATTTAGAGCTCCGTAAGCTCAGTCACGTCACATGTGAGCGACAATTACCTGCGCACTCACTCACTCTTGCCTTTACACTACGACGCAATGGCAAGCGTACCAGATTACTCGCGGCCGACGACGCCTGAAAATGGCACCAACGGCGTCATGACACCCCGCACACCCAAGAACTCGGGGTTTGCGCTCACAGAATACACCGCCAATCCGAGCCCGCCGCCCGAGTCACCACGGCCAAGAACCAACGATGTCGTGCCCGACGCGTTCCTGCTACCCAATGGCTATCCCGACTACCTCCGCCTCATCCTCACATCGCGCGTCTACGAAGTCGTGAAGGAGACACCCCTCACCCACGCAATAAATCTGAGTAATCGGCTGGAGTGCAATGTCCTGCTCAAGCGAGAAGACCTGCAGCCCGTCTTCAGCTTCAAGCTGCGCGGCGCATACAACAAAATGGCACATCTCGATCCCAAGGACCGGTGGAAGGGCGTGATCGCGTGCAGTGCTGGTATGACCATGGAGGCGCTCAACTCGACGTAGAGGAAGCTCATGACCGCAGGAAACCACGCCCAAGGAGTCGCATACTCGGCGCGCCATCTCAAGATCCCCGCAACCATCGTCATGCCCTCGGGCACTCCCGATATAAAGCACAAGAACGTCTCGCGCCTCGGCGGATCGGTCATACTGCACGGTGCGGATTTTGATGCAGCCAAGGCGGAAGCTGCGCGACTAGAGAAGCTACATGGACTGGTCTCCATACCTCCGTTCGACGATCCGTATGTCATTGCTGGGCAAGGAACGGTCGGCATGGAGCTGTTGCGGCAGACTGACCTGTCGAAGCTCACGGCCGTCTTTTGCTGCGTGGGAGGCGGAGGCCTGATCGCCGGAGTGGGCGTCTACATCAAGCGCATAGCGCCACACGTCAAGATCATAGGCGTGGAGCAATACGACGCCAACGCCATGGTGGAGTCTCTCAAGGCAGGAAAGCGGGTGCTGCTCAAGGATGTCGGGCTGTTCGCCGACGGTGCGGCAGTGAAGACAGTCGGAGAAGAGACGTTCAGAATATGTCAAGAGGTGGTTGACGAAGTAGTTCAAGTAACAACCGACGAGACATGTGCCGCCATCAAAGACATGTTCGAAGACACACGCTCCATCGTCGAACCCGCTGGCGCCCTCGCACTCGCCGGTCTTAAGAAATGGGTGTCTCGCAATCCATCCCCCGACCGTGACCGCGGCCTCATCGCGACCGCCAGCGGTGCGAACATGAATTTCGACCGCCTGAGATTCGTCGCGGAGCGCGCTGCACTCGGAGAGAACAAAGAAGCCCTCCTCTCCGTCACCATCCCCGAGATGCCCGGCGCCTTTGCCAAACTCGTCGCAGTCATCCACCCCATGGCCGTCACGGAATTCAGCTACCGCTACTCCGGCCCCAGCGAAGCCAACATCCTCGTCGGTGTCGAGCTCAAAGCCGCGACACGCGCACGCGACCTGCCCGACCTCATCACCCGGCTCGCAGCCGAAGGGCATGATCGCCACCGATCTCTCGCAAGACGAGCTCGCCAAGTCGCATATCCGCTACTTGGTCGGCGGCCGCAGCAACGCCGCCGACGAGCACTTGTACATGTTTGAGTTCCCGGAGCGGGGCGGCGCATTGTACAAGTTCCTCAACACGCTGCAGCCGGGCATGAACATCAGTCTTTTCCACTACAGGAATTACGGAGGCGATGTCGCGAAGATTTTGTCGGGCATTCAGTGCAAGAAGGAGGACAGTGAGAAGTTGGAGGGCTTCTTAAGGGATATTGGGTATCCTTACAAGGAGGTTACAGGGAGTGAGAGTTATAAGACGTTCTTGAGACATTAGGGTGATGAGTTGGGGAGTGGTGTAATATCGGTGCGACGTGTTCGTGGCGCCAGAGCATAGTCACGTTATGTTTATAGGAAAGAAGTAATGGTCGCTGCATCTTCTCCACCGCGCTAAGTCTGATCGCCGTCGCTGGTGGCCGATGCGGAATTACGCGCTACTTCATTCATTACGGAGATGGTCTACCGCCGGCCATTGCGCACCGCGTTGGAACGATGCAACTACAGCCAAATCCATGTGGATGCGAGCATCGTGATCGTAGTGAGTATCGTGCCAAATCATGATCAATGCCATTATTCATGCTCTTCAAACACTCGCGAAACACACACATGCCTCCTTTCAGCTATACACGATGTCGCAGGTTATTGCTTTTCATATTCTTCGTTCTCCGCGGCTATAGTCTACTTTTGAGCATACATGTTCGTCCCCATACTTTATTTTCGCTCCTTGTTTCTCAATAGCCGTCCACATCGCGGTCATGGTCCGTTCACTGCAATGCTTTTTCCACGTCTTCTTGCCTGTTAAATGCATGCGAATCTACGTGACGAAGTGCTCACCAAGCAGACAGCCGCTAATGCGCCGTTCGACAGTAGGATCCGAAGTGATGTTGGGTCCCCACCACGCTCTCACTTTCGTGACGACGATGACAGCTTACCCTCTTTGCACTCGCGCATGCTATAGCTCCAGCAAGTGTATGTTAGTGGCACTCTTAGCGCAATGTGACTTAGAGCCCCACGTAGATCACAACGATCTTGTATTCCTAAAACTACGTTCAATGTAGCCCGCGTCCGCCCAGAAAGCTAGAATTTATCTATAGACCCGCGACCCGCGACCGGTGTCTATACAATGAGTAGGATGAGGTGAGATGCCGGCGAGCCAAGGTTTCCGAAGCCCGGTACCCGGTCCCTCCGCCACCCCAATAACTTGCGAGTTATCAGCAGCAATGTTCTCCGCGACTCCAACCTACACTGTAAGGTTCAAAACCATCCGCAATCATGTTCAAAGCAGTATGGTCGCAATACTTTCCCCCAAAGCCCGCTTTCACTGAGACAAATGTTCCGCCAGGCAGCCAGGTGGGCAAGGTGTTCATCATCACAGGCGCCAATCAGGGCATCGGCTTCGAGTTGGTCAAGATGCTCTACCCGACTGGCGCAACCATCTACCTTGCCGGCCGTTCACAGGAGCGTGTGACCAAAGCCATTGAACAAGTTATTTCTTCCACCAAGCCAGTGCCCTCCACACCCGCTACACTCAAATACCTCTACCTGGATCTATCAGATCTAACCACTGTTAAACCCGCCGCAGTCACGTTCGCAAGCCAGGAACAGCGTCTCGACATTCTCTGGAACAACGCAGGTATCGGCGGAAACCCAGAGGGCACGACCACGAAGCAAAACATCGAAGGTCACATAGGCATTAACTGCGTCGCACCCTTGTTGTTCACTCAAGAACTTCTGCCACAACTACAGAATGCATCCAAGTCAGCAACTCCCGGCAGTGTGCGCATTGTCTGGACGTCGTCGTTGATGGTTGAGACGTTCTCCCCAAAAGGCGGCGTCGACTTCCTCTCCATTGAAGCGAAGGCAACCACAAACTCCAAAAAAGACTACGCCGTGTCGAAAGCCGGCAACCTGTTTCTTTCTGCAGAGGCCGCTAATCGATGGGGCAAATTCGGCATTGTCAGCGTCTGTCAGAACCCCGGTAACCTGCTAACGAACATTTACTCGCACCAGTCCGCGGCGCTGATGGCGGTGTTGAAATTGTTTCTGTACGAGCAAAAGATGGGTGCGTACACGTTACTGCATGCTGGCTTCTCGCTGGATATTTCGCTGGACAATAACGGCGCGTATGTGTGGCCGTTTGGGAGGACGAAGCCAATGATGAGGCAGGATATCGTAGATGCGATTGAGGCGGGTAAGGCGGCAAGCTTCTGGGAGTGGTGCGAGAAGAAGTATGCGAACTTTGTGTAGGCAGCTCAGAGAAAGTTACGCGCTTTTGAGAATGCTGCAAAACTACTAGTAGCAAAGGCGGAGGTAGAGAGCGAAAGTCTTGCTAGACTCTCTACGCTGAGACTTGCATTGAATGTTGCGCGCAGGTTTAGACGTAACATGGCGCGGGAGAAAGACAGATATTGATGCGATCTCAGATCGGTCAATCACTTACCGGTATGATGTGAGGCGCATGCAGGACGAAGCGGAAGCGGAAGCCCCGCTGCTCAGCCCCGCGACATTTCAGCCCAACGTCCTTGAATCAAAACAAATCTCTCTACAACAGTTTCCGTCACATGAGGCTTTAAGAGAAAACAGGCACATCGTGTATAGGCGACTGTCTGGCACAGCGGATTAGTCTACAGGATGGATCTTAATAGTATACTAAATGAGCAATCGCCCTCCTGTCAACCCATTCACGGCCTGAGTGACCAACCGATCGTTTCTACTCGCATAGAAGAAGGCAAACGTCACATACCGGAGCAAAGTTCTCTTCGTAGCAGTTCATCTCAAAGTCACGCTTTATATACTCGCACTAGCCTACCGCGACCAACAGAACAACCATGGCTCCAAAGCAACAACCGACACGTCTTTGATCCACAACTAAATCGCAACAACCTGACGAGCAATCCAGAGTCGTACTGTACGAAACGAAGCTATTCAGAAGACAAACCTCATCGGTCCAACGAGAAGTTGCAGGGCGAAGAATTCGGCGAAAAGAGCTTCTTCTCACATGGCTTGACCACGGCACCCGATCGCGAGACGGCCTGTCACGATGAACTAGACTTACTCGACTCCCATCAAGCTAGTTAAGTTCATGATTCAAGCATACTTCGTGCTTTTCAAGACCCGCGCACACATGCGAAAGCCTTCCTAGAGCACATACACACCAGATCTAGTCAAGGCTCGCAAAACCACGCTAGCACAACAAGTCTATACATATTAGGATTTCTAATATTAGGTCGATAATAGTGCTAAGCTAGCCTATGTTAACGTAATCTACTACTAAGTAACTTACTCTACTAAGTAACCTAAAACTTACTAAGCTACGTATATTCTTCTTTTCTCTAATATGCCTTAACTACTTAACGCATTATTACTTTAAAATAAAGGTAGAATTTAGCTTGCTATTAACGCTATATAATCTAAATAATTCTAAAGCTACTAAGCTACTACTACTACATTTAATATTAATTACTATACTCTTAATTACTATATTAAAGGACTTACTTCTTATATAGAAACTATCTCTAACTACTAGAAACTTACTAACGTATTCTACTACTAAGTAACCTACTCTACTAAGTAACCTAAAATTTCTTAGCATAAGAAACTATCGCAGTATTAATACCTAAGAACAGTAAAGTGCTAATCTACGTAACTAAGCTAACTAAGCTTAGAAAGTAGACTAACGTTTCTCTATAATCTATTTATATATTTAAGCTAGCTCTTCTAATATATTAGAAGAGCAGTAATTAATATAATCTTTTCTCTTAAGTTTGCTTAGCTATAACAGTTATAAGCCTAGCGCTATAGAATTATAGAGTTAATTCTCTACTATGCATCTTATATTTGCTAAGTACTTAAATTAATTATTCTACTACTCTTATTTCTCTTAAACCTCTTAAATTATCCTAATAATATTAGTCTAAATAGACTAAATAGACTAGATAAAACTTCCTTCTATAGTTACTCTTTAAGCTTATAAAGACTAGCTAGCATAGTATATTTAGCTTAAAGTTTATGTTATTAAAAAGCGAATATAGAACTATATTAATCTAGATAGCTTATTATAGCCTAATCTTCTTAATAACGCTCCTCTTATACTTAGAATTATCTACTAAGCTAGTTAAGCTAAAGGATCCTTCTACTAGAGCTACTAATAAAAGTAAAAGCTAATTATAAAAAGTCTTTATAAGAATATATTGAAAGATATTAAAGCCTATAAAGTTTTATTAGCTAACTATAATAAGAAGAGTCTAATAATAGAAAAGTTCTTACTGCTATATAGTCTTAAAAAGCTACTATACTTATAAATCTTTAAGGACTAGAATTATAAAAATAGTCTTACTAAACTTTCTTAAGGCTTATCTAGATTAGGCTTTTCTAAATAGATAACTTAAGCCTTTAATTATAACTTAAACTACTTAAAGATTAGCTAGCTCTAAGTAAGGCTATAACTTAGAATTAAATTAGATAAGAGTACTAAGCTTACTTAGATAAAGCTAAGTATAGTAGAATTAGACTAGAGAAGTAGTTTAATAAATAGCAAACTCTCTATGCCTAAGCTTAGATATATAACGTTCTAGAGGTTAAAGAGACTATTACTCTTACTAACTTTCTTAAAGCAATTATAGCAAAATATGCTCTAGAATAGGCCTAATAGAAATAAGCAGAAGTTATAGAAAGAGCATTTCTAAGAAAGAATAATATAATATTAGATAATATTACTATAGTATTTAACGCTATGCTAAGTAAGTAATCTAGAGATACTAAAAAAGAAAAGAGACTATTAATCTTTATAGTACTAACTCTAAATAAGCAAACTGCTTAAAATAGCTTAACTAGAAAAACTAAAAAAAGCTTAAAAGTATATCTATATATTAGGTCTTACCTGCAAAAGCTCTAATTAGATAAGTTTATTATTATTAGAAACTAATTACCTATCTTAAGCTTTAAATAGCAGTAATAAGATTAGCCTCTAGCAATTTAATTAAGCGTTAATAATATAGATAAGAAAAAGATCTTAGAATAGTATAATAAGCCTAAATAGCAAGATCTCTGCAAATAGATTAAAAAGTTAAGTTAGTCTACTACTCTAAGAAAGAAAAGATTAGATAAAGATTACTCTATTACTATTTAAGTAAGCTTAATTAATCTAACTCTCTTATAA